TCGGAACCCTCGAACTTCAGTTAATGAAATTAATGGAACTCAAGTTAAAGGAGACTCATTTTTATTAATAATTGAATTACAGACTCAAAACATATATACACTCGTGAAGAGTGAAGTAGCAATGACAAAGAACAGTTAACTAGTAAACTAATAGGCTGGGTAAAAGATCACTGGAGGAGTGAATTACGACTAAGTTAAAAGGAACGGTGACAACTAAATTACAATAAATTTAAGTTTGAACCTAATAGCAAAATTAAACTCTAGAATCTCAACTTCATAATGCTAATTAATCAAGCTAATGCATAGAATCCTTAGTTGACTCGGTGTTAGCTTTAGCCAGAAGGGCTAATAAAGAAGGGGAAAGCCTCCTTTTAAGTAACTGGAAGTGCTTACTGATGAGAACACAACTTGACACAAATTCTACCAATGCAACACCTATTAACAGCCATTAACTGAGGGAAAATCGAAGCAACTTTTCCAACCGTACAAATCAAAGATAAGAGAAGAACTGAAGTTTTTAGTTTCAAAATTATCCGAGGTCAGTTGCGGATTTTCCGCTCCATCAGAAGGCTGGTCATTTTGACCTAGTGAGTTCAGCCCTTGTCTCCTCAGTGGTCGATCAGTTTACAACCCTTACAATGGGCGTCTGATTCTCTAAAGATGGAAAATAACTTGACCAATGATTGTTAGACTTAATTTTTGAACTCAAAATGGCTTTAAACTCTATTGGTTAATTACGTTCCCTTGTCCCACCTCAAGGAGTGTCGTCAGCGTACAGTCTTCCCTTAAGTTTACGCGTCTCGAGGATTTAATTGCTTTGGGGCAAACCCTGCAGTTTTCAATAATTTCAATGGATTGGGAATTCTTGTAATGCTGAGGCCACAATTCGAGATGTCCTCTTAAATAATTATAAAATTATACATAGCATTTACGTAAAACCAACGGTGACTCTCTTCTGGAATTTTTTTATGTATTTTTAACAAAATTAGCTTCATTGGAACAATTATGACAATTTTTAGTAATATGCTAGCCTTCGGAAGTCTTAGATATCCCATGATACGCCTCTGACGCGTGACCGTTCAGCGCTCGGGGTAGTTTCTAACATCTGCTAACCAAATGGTTCAGATTCAAATTTCTCGGCACTCCTTTGGTTGTAACTTTATAGTTATAGCAATCAAATGTTATTACAGAATAGATCTCCAAACCCTGTTTTTGTCCCGGCCTATTTGAAAGGTCCAACTTTATAGCATCCGGTCCTATTATCTATTTTCTTCGAAATATAAATTTGGTTTCCCTTGGCGCTCGCTGGGTGGTTTGCAGATGCGAGTGTTTGTTCTGCCGTTAGTTTTTATGTTTATTTCTATTTTATGGATGCGACGAATCTTTACAAAGGTAGGGCATGACGAATTATTTCAACGAATTTAGAAATTGATAACTTGGTCGGCTACACCAAACATGTGAGCAGTACTCGAGGCTAGCTGAGGAGGGGTTAGGTATTTCTTAGACTTAAACAAATAGTCTAGCTTTTTCCGACCAGCTGCCACTATTAACGAGATGATTGACGTTTCAGATCATTTTCGGAAGAATTTTTGCAGCGATTAAAAATTGGATGTTGAGGGTTATTTTTGAGGGCAAAAGGATATGTAAATTTGTTGGTGCTAGCAGTTTATACGTTTCCACCGCATCTATTAGACATATTTCACATATTATAGACTTTTCAGTACATGATCCATTTATTTTCTTTATTATACATGTTCATATCCAACTTTGTTCTAATAGGACTAACTTGTGTCGAATATAAGCCTTTATGAATTGATATCAGCGTTGCATAGGAAGTGCAGGGTCCACCTACTTGAAGCCATTTTTTCAAGCTTTGTGTCACTGCCTTGAAAATTTCCTTGTCAACGTATGAGTCCTTCACATTTATGCATGTTACTGTCAGTAATGACTTGCTAGTCATGGGCGTGCGATTTGTATCTACTCCTGCAAATATTTGATATAAAACGAAGTAATGCCTGAAGATACAAATACAATGGTGTCGACAGTCTAGAATTATTTTCAGAAAGTGATTGAAAATAACGGCCTTTTAGTCACCTAATTCATGTGTGTGCGCACATGGTACCTTTAGTCAATCGGAAACACTACCTTTAGAATAAATGGATTCGTAGCAATAATAATAATTTGCAAACGATATTTAATCATCGAAAAAGAAAAGTAATTTTGAATGCCCAGTATTGGTCATTAAAACTGCTATTGAAAGGTGACTATGCGTTGGCGTCTCTTGCCCTTGTACTTTTCTCTCTCGCCATCCATTAGTTTCGAAAATAACGATCCTACCTGTTGTATTTGTTGGTAAACATGCCGAGAAAATTTTGGGTGCCACTACAAAATAGTGCGTCCACAAGTGCAATGTTGCCAAAATTTTTATTTTAGTCCGAGAAGCATTTTAGCATGTGCTCGGAAAAATATTCTGATTCGATTTTTTTTTCGTAGTCTTACTTAAAAAGTATTCTTTATAACGAATGTGTATATTGGCAGATCAATAATTATTGCAAAATTGGATAAACATGTTTTAAAGGAATTGCAAAAATTGATTTTTTCGCTCTGGACTTCCTTTTAGATCGGTAGATATAAGTGATTGTAACGTGAGAAATATGCCATTATCGACAAAAAAAAAACAGTACCAATAGAAAAAAATTAATGTTGCTAAAGTTCCTAAATACTTCTCAAACATCTATTAACCAAATCCCATAACATTTTAGCGGGTATTGTTATTGTTACACTTTGACGGAATAGGGTACCATAGAGCAAATGAAACGCAATATCCAGAAACCTAGCAAAAAGAGATGAAAAACAAGATAAGGTGGATTCATGTTTGTGACCTTCCAAAGGCTGGCATTGTGATATCTGTTTCATTCATTTTAAAAATATCGTAGAATAATATCAAACAGATAAATGTTTCACCCTGTATTTTCCTAATAGCTGGCTATAAATGAAAAGCCAGACTGTGTGCTCTATTTGGCAACTTGGCAACACTGCCAGTAGTTCACGCCTTTACTCATTCTCGCACCTTTCGAGTTCGGTATCCTACATGTACGACGTATGTTAAACACGGCTCTGGCAGCCAGATATCTCCCCCTACTCTCTAATAGTCGTAAATGATAAAATCCCTATTTATAGCTCCCCGCCCACGCTTTTACGGACTATAACAAACGGGAGTTTGCCTTGCCCGATGTCAGGAGGTTTAAAATTAGACTTTGGAAAATCTGGTTATGTTCACTCCCATATCTACTTATAGATTGAACCAGTATATTCGTAATGCAAATTTTTGTTGTACGATTTAAATAACAATAAAGGCGTCTTTACAATTACATGGTAACAATGCTTTAGAGTTAACCTAATTGGCGAATTTTAGCTTGGCTACTCTTAGATTTAACCAGAAAATATATAAAGCCATCTTGCAGGCTAGGTAGTTTTTAAGTTGCAAACAGTTATTCCACGTTTGCTCACTAGGATCTGACAAAGGTGAGCTACCATCTATGGAGGAATGACTCAACTACACGCATTGGTGGTTGCATATTTTTTGTGAAGCCGAGTAGTCTGTATTTTTCATCTCTGAGAAGAAAGTTGGTTGAGTAGCAAGATCGCATCTGGATAATTATGTGTATTGGTCTGAATGTGTAAAAAATCAGTGATATTTGGTGTGTGAGAAAATCATTACTGAATATGCTGCCAATGAAGTATACCTATTAGCTGTGCCCGACGGGTTATTTATATGTTGCCTTCAATAAATTATTAAGTATATGGCTTCTTCACAAGCAGCATCCAACTGATTAATGCATACCTTACAGATAGACAATATGTGTTCTTGAATGGAAATACGTGTGCACTTCATACATTATGGTGTTCCTCAGCGCTCTATACTAGATCCCGCATTATTTTCAATTTACATAAATGACATTGAGAAAGAACTGTGATCCTCATTCAAAATTTATTATGTATACAGATGTTACGATCAGAATGACCCAATCAGATAACATAGCTATAAGAGCGAACAAAACTTTAAATTGTGGTGCTTGGCAAAGTTATTAAATTGACGAAACAGAAGACCTAAAATTCCGAACAAAAAATAACCTTACTCAAATAACTAGAAGTAATATGGATGTCAAATTTCTTGGTATCATTTTTGATACGCAAATGACATGGGAACACCGTGTATATGAACTATCAAGAAGATTAAGCAAAACTTATTTTTCCGTGGGTGAGGATTATGGACATACTTGATTGACTTGATCCATTGAATCCTTTTGTTATAGATGTCCGTAGCTTTTTTTCAGAGTGACTAACTTGTGCCTGCGAATGGCGTTGCGTGGGAAGTGCAGAGTCAACCTACTTGACGCCATTTCTTTATTTTCAACATTTTTTTTAAACAATAAGCGTGAAATGCGCTGGGTCACCTACCGCCTGTTGACCGAGACATTCCCAAAATATCTCACCTGTTTGGAACCTCTGTAGCCCTGTATGCGTCGCACTCGATCCAACGGCCGCACACCGTGCCGCGCGTCTCTCATAATTTTAGAAAATCGACGATTATTATAAACCGCCTGTTTTAAATACCCTACGACTATTCACGCTCTTAGTTTAACCGTGTTAAGGCGTGTTCTTTGACGCGTCGGTCTTGCCTCGTGTCTATCTACCCCTTTAAAGTTGCGTATAGGGTTTATTGGCGAGTCTGTGTATAACTTTAGGGCTGCGGATTGTGCTTACCGACGCGTCTGCACCTCCCTTTAGGATTGTATCCTCGAGTGGCGTCTTTTTATTTATATGTTTTGTGAAGCTTTCTGTCTAAGAAAATAATAGTTTTTCCCGATATAGTGTTAGTGGTTGCTTAGGATTTTTAATGTAAATATTTGGTTTATGATGTGTTGTTAGTAATTCTGAGAAGACAATATATACGAGTATAAACATTAATTAGTTCGTTTTCAAGATTCAGTGACAAACTTCTTTCAAAAATTCGTTTTTTTAATAAACATTTTAATAATTTTTTTAGACAAATTTATCGGAATTTTTTGAAATTTAACAGATCCAAACGTATTGATGGAAATTTAGATAAATTGATTTGGGAAAAATGATTTAACAAAATCACAAATGGTCAATTGTGTATTTTAGGTTTTCAAACACCTTTCTTGTATTAAATTTAAATATCAAGCTTTATCTGTGCACGCGAAAATTCTACAAATGTGCCTGAATATTTATCGATATTTTAAAGAAAGTCGACATATTATCAGAAAAACCTAGACCACCTTTAAAACGAAGAATTATCGAATTTATGTTTACATGAACCATACTTCTCAGAATTGGCCGAGGAATCACTGCCGCTTGAAATCTGATCTGATACATTGATAGATCTCTTTATTTTTCATAGTTCATTACAAAGCACGCGTGATTCTACATCCAAATCATTATAGCACAATTTTTTTTTTATATTGCGAGTATGAAGCTTGAAAAAATCTTTGCACATTTCAAACTTTTGATTCTTGGAAATCACTGCTGTTTATGAAATGAGAGACTAACATTGAAGGGGTTATTTTTCACTATAATAAGGATCAAGGATATTTTATCGTTTAGTGGTTTTGATGAGTTTAGTTACCAAGTGATTTTTAACACGTTTCATTTTAATCTCAAATAAAGCGGCCTTACAAAATTCATAAAACAACGAAATATTAGAATAGTCGAAAAATAATGCATCGAATAGATGTTTAGGAAAAAATATTCACCAAATCGACTGGTGAAAATGTTTTTAAACTTAACTGAAGGACATGCTATATGCTATAGGCGTTCAGATTGTCAGGCATATATCCCAAGTATAAAAAATGCCAAAAGGATTGACTCCGTACTTCTCATGCATTGATGTGAACCTATTTCATATAGTTGCAATTCAGAAATACAATAGAAAATATGAGTTCTTAAATGTATCACATAAATAATTCTCTTGCAATGAGTTTAGAAATCCCTAGCTACAAAAGCAAAAATGAGATTTGAGCAAAATTGAAATTTATCTGTTCTTTACAACAAGGAATTTCTGAATATCGGAGATTGTCAAATAGTCATCCAATTAATGATGTTACCTAGCATTGTTGGAAAGAACCGTGTGGCGCTTGAAAAAGTAGTATATGTAGAAGCTTTTTAAACAGTTTAAAATCATGATGTGGTGAGCTGGCATCTATTCTATTTTTGGCTTTCATTTTTTCAATACATTTCCTGTAGTAAAAATATCTATAATTGGTTTTGGAAACCCATGTACTACATGTATGCAATATAATAATTAATGAGCCTATTAATTACCCTTTTCGTTGTAACACATTTAAAAACACAAATTCTAAATAAACGTCCAGTGAAAAAGAACATCTTCACTCCAGATTTCACGATACTGGGAAATAACAAGCGAAAATAAATCTTTCAATCTTCCCGATTTACAAATTGTGTATACAGTAAAATTCTAAATTAACCATTTGGTTTTCCTGCTAAACACTCATTTGCGCTGTTCTATTTCATACGGAACTTTACCAGTACAGTTTTTACTAGTGGGGGCGGAATATTGCTCTGACGTCTGCATGATATATTTTTGTTTTATGATCCATGTTGGTTGTGGAACCTGTACAGACACATGTATATTTGTTTGGAAATTGAGAGTTTCACGTTAACCTTGCCAGAGGTCATTCACGGAACAATTTGAATAAAATACGTCCGAATATTGATTACATATTCGACCTGACGATAACCAACCATATATTATGAAAGAGTATCATAACACAAATATGAATTTAGAATTCTACTTTGAAAACAGTAGGACTGGTCCTTCTATCTTATTGATGGCATTAGGATTTTCAATTCCTTTTGAGCCTTTCTTAATGAATGCCTAAAGACACTCAATTAAAATAGGCATTAGAGATGCCAAAAAAGAACTGAATCTCCCAGCGCCATCTATGAGATAGTAGCAGAACACTTAACTCTTTTCAAAGTGGTTTTTCAATTTAGTTTCTTGTTCTGCTACAGTTTCATGGATGGCGCTAATGTCTTTCAGTTCCTCTTTTGAACGGCAACAGTATGTGGCTGGTAGAATCCGTAAATCAATGATTCCAATAAGTGTAATGTGTGAGAAATATAGAGTCATTCCAGTCACCATTTTTCCATTACAGAATGAATGAAATGAATCTCGACATTTGAATCTAGTTCTAAATAAATAGAGTGAACAAGGCGATAAACATTAAAACCTACAATCTCGCGAGTGCTAGAACTCTCCCGCGATGTCCTACCTCCGCAAACATCACCAAGGCTCCTCAGGGATGCTCTCCTCATCTACTCCAACCCCGCCCAGTCGAACGCACCGGTCGCAGTCCCGCCCGCGCAGTCACTACGGGGGCGGAGTCACATCCTCATCGTACTCCTCCCCGTACAGCTCATGGGCGGGGCCAGGCAGCCACGCCTCATCGGCTTCAGCCTATCAGAGCCCGTATTTTCCGAACGGCTACCGAGGCAGCGCTGGCGGTTACGCGAGCTTGGCCATCCCCGCCAAATCGGTGTTGCAGACGTTGAGTAAGAAGTACGAGAACGCGAGCGTCAATGGAGGCGGGGCACATGTCAGTAGGCGGGACAGACTGGGCAGGGCAGGGAGTTACAGAGAGAGGTCGCTGTCGAGGTCATCCAGGGCGTCACCGCTGTCGTCGACGTCTATGGGATCCAGGTCCATCAGTTTGACATCGTTGAATTCCGAAGGATACGTTGTAAGGGATTACGATATTATTATATCATTATTAGCTTATAAGGACGTGATTTGGCAATTAAGTTCCTGAAATTTAGTGATAACTATGGAAAGAGCAACACTGTAGATCAGGTTATATTCTCCTTCTTTAAATAGGGTAATTTGCCTCAATTACTTCTTTGCTTGTGTCTGCGTTTGTCTCTAGATGTTTGGTCTGATGAAGACATCCCAATAATATGTCCAAGCAGCATAAGTTGCACTCTTGCATACGCACATGATCTACATGGCGATAAACCATATCTAATAGGACATAAAGGATGTATCAGAAAGATTTCTCGATTATTTTTTCCCTTTTTAATTTATGCACATTTTATTACATCGGATATTTGCTATTTAACGGACCAATAGATGAAAACCTACATGTATTTTCCTCACAATACTCTCTATACATTTGTCACACATTCCTTATTCTTTACATCCGTCTGCAGTGCCGTATAACTCCATGATATTGGTACGCACATCTGTAAAATGAATAATGTCAGTCATGATTATAGTGACATATTCGAGAAACTGCAAATATCTGCAAATTATTTGTTTCAATTAAATGTCTAGATTCCCAAGCATCACTCTTTCATGAAAATTATCGTAGTACCTCGTGACACAAATTTTGTGACCTTCGCATAATATGAAACATATTTGACGACTGAAAAAATTATGTGAATTTCAAAGATATGTTGCGTATCGAGTCCTTTTAATAATTTCAAATCGTCGTTTTAACTTATCGTTTTTCATACCGCAACGATGTTACTTTGAATCTGAATAAGAAACTTTGTAGGTTTTGTCATCCATTTGTAGTGTGTTCGTTCTTTTTCTTGTCCTTTTTGTTTCCCTTAAAAACAAATATTTTCATTGATGTTTTCGGCGATTTTTCTCTTGCCTTGCTAACTCTGATCCATACACAGAAATAACATTTAGGGTCGTATCGTCAGTCGTTCCTACAATTATTGTAGGACGAATTCAGGGTCTCCTTGATTTTCATAGCTTTAGACTGTTCCATGTCAGCGCTCGATTTTGAGGTTATGTCACAAATATCTATTTGAGTCAAATTGTTCATGATTTTGATTTGTATCATGTTTCATCACCCTGAAATTTCCAACAATTCAAAAGAAAGCATTACTTAACAATAGGAGAGCGCTGACGCTGACACGGATCAGTAGAATTTTAGAAATGCTACAGCCTTTCTGAAGGAGAGAAAAGAGTATGAGAATTAAGGAGGCCATAAAGACGTCCTACAATAATTGTAGGAATGACTGACCATATGGCTCTTAGTCAACTCTTACATATTAGGTTTTTGGCCACTTTTTCCGAGATTTTTGGACATTTACCTGAAACTTATTTGCTTGAGTGCTTACTCACAAATTCCGAGAACTTAGTTGCCACACCTCGTAAACTTAAGTGACGCTGTTTGCCTTTTCTGTCAGAAGCGTTGTCAGATTTACTGTTATAAGCTACCGCCTAAGTGTTAAGTGATACCTAGGTTGAGTCTCCCTTAAATACATGCCGAGGGAAAAAAATGACAATCGTGATGAACATTTTTCATTGTCTGTTACTATTTGTAATCCTTATTGACTAGCCTAGTAAGCCTAGCGTAATAAATCAGCCTTAGCGATGATACACAATATATTTTTCTACAAGCCGCTAATTTTATTTTTAAATATTTCATAATATTTGTTTATGAGACGCAAATCAGTCAACGTTTGGCGTATAGCGTTCAAAAAAGTGTTCGCAAGTCGCTAAAATATAACAATAATGAGATTTTGGCGTGGCGGGAACGCGTGTTGTCTCAAGGAAACGGAGTTTTGTCAAAACATAAATTTTGATGCGCTACGGTTTTGAAAATGACCGTGGCCGAATATTTTCGCTTGATTTATTCGAGTATATCACAATGTCACAATCATTGGTCAACGCTCTCAATTTTGGTAGGCGATAATAAAGTTGACGTTTTGGATGAGTTTGTTTACATTGGAGTTGTTAAACTTGGTCGAATTTACGATATATAAAAATGTCATTTTTCTTGGAAAATAGGTGAGAAACACCTCATATAATACCAAGAAAAACAGTTATTATTTTAAGGCGCGATTTTAATACCAGTGTGGAACTATTTAAAAGACTAGAAGTAAAATTTAGACTAAATATTTTGTTTAAAAATATATAAACCAAAATTATTTACCGCAATTTGCTATTGTGAAATATAATTTCACTCCTTAAGTAAATACGAGTAGTTAAATCAAAAAAACATAAGTAGATAATAGTGTCATTAAGGCCCGATTTTACTAAAATTGCAAGTATGGCACAAACTCAATGAGAAGGCGTTTTTTTCAGGTAATGGATCTTATGAATATAGTCGATTTCTTGTACCATATCTATCAATCCCCATATTAAAACAAGAAATACTTCATACTCGTAAATAAGCTGGTTTAGCTAAAAAACCTATCCATTGAAAAATGTTTGCGACCATAGCTCAACCTTCACCAATCAAAAAGTGGGATCTGGGTTCTACTCGAGGCATGGACCAAATCTGATACAATATCTAGATTGACATGACAGCATTTTATTGGAAACAATAGAGTCTCTACCTACCTGAGAGAGATAATTGAAAAAAAAGGATATATTTCAACAATATGTTTATTGGAGATTAGGTACAAACACCTATCTTTTCTCTAGGTTTGTATCAGGACAGTCAAACTAGATCATTTCTTTTTAAAATTGCTATACAAAATTCTGCTTAATACACTCTTTGAAGACAACTAAAACTACAGAATGTTTATCCTTTAACAAATATCGAGTAAGCATTAATCTTTCGCTACAAGTGACGGACAATAAATTTATCCAAAAAGGATTATTTCCCCGACAACACCGCGAGCTTTACTCGCTGTAAAGACTTATTCAAGAAATATCTTATACTGACCCTACCCTCATTATTTATTTTTGAGATGGCCATATATACACCTTCTCGAACCAGATCAATTTTCTTTTAAATAACCAAATTCATGGAGTCAACACTACACAAAGCACCAATCTGCATATACCGTTCGCGAAGTATAATTCTTCTAGAAAGTCACCAAATGTGTTAGGACCTAGAATTTTTAATAGGCTTCCCGAATATATTAAATGCAGTTACTCCGTTAACAGCTTTAAAAAACTATTAAAAGACTCTACTTGACAAATGCTATTACACCGTCAATTACTTTATTAGCTTATAGGTATTTTAGTTTTGACAAATCTAGTACATGAACTGTCATGTCAAGATGGATAATATATTATATAATTATTATTATTATCAAATAACAAGACGCCATCATCTGTTTTGCGGACGCCAAGTTTTTTGTTTGGTCAGTTTTCTCTGTCTCTCTTCTCTAATTTATTCGCCGTGTCTGTTTTTTCTTGATATGAGTACGAGTACTCCTTGCTCAGTGTCATTTTGACCACACTATATATTTAACTATGTCCAAACAGCAAAGGAAAATTGTATTTTTAATTTTAGCGAGAATCAAATTTATATCATACGGCCTCACACAAGCGTGTGATGTTTATTATTTGTGTTCAATCCAAATTCTCGATTGATTAAAATGTTTTCTAAACGTCTGTAGGTAGCGGATATCTATTAGTAAAGATACATGTTCAAACTGTGATGTAATAATAGTGCTTCTCAATATGTTCGAGATACTTTACTAATTTCTAATATTTATTTTAGATATTTGATGAGTAACCTTTCAGGAATATATCCATATATATTCTTCCATAAACGGTGTCCATTTTTTCCAGAGTGGTTCTGAGCGAAGCAGCAGGTCCCGACTGAACAGTACGTCAGATATTCGAAACGAAAATGGCGAGATCGACTATAAAAAACTGTACGAGCAACAATTAGCTGAAAACGACAGGCTAAAAGACAAGCTTAGGAAATCCGAAGAAGAACTTAGGGACACCAAGCAAACGCTTGAGAAACTCAATGTAGTGGTAAGTAGTTCAATGAGGAAATGCATCCCTACTAATATTATAAATGTGTATGTATGATTGTATGTTCCATTTTTACGTCAAAACGGTTGAACCGATTTTGATGAATTTTGGCACAGATATAGATTAGACCCTGAGACGGAACTAAGCTGTCATTTTTTGCGAAAATAAAACTTTAGGGCTAGCAATAGATTCTTAAAGTTAGGGATATAAATATGGGTTTTTATATTTGTTTCTTTGATATAATGTAAATGAACAGGTACAAATTGAGGAACTTTTACCCCTAAGGGATGAAGTGTGGGTTAACATTCAAATTAGGCCAGCCTAGAAGTAAGAGTATGTTTTCTCTATAATCACATCTTTAAAATAAAAAAATCATCAACAAAGAATTTATATTTCTACCTTATCACTTATCAAGTTAAGTTTATTGAAATATATGTCGAAAACTATTCGATTTATAAACACGAACTTTAGCAAGGAAGTAGTTTACGGACAGGATATGTAAATAGATTTTGCGACAGGGCTAGATTAAGGAAGCGCCGGGGACAAATACATGTGAAATGGAAAAGATGCTCATTAATCACGAGAGTACGAAAACAATTTCATCTATTAACAAACTTTCATTAGAGAAATAGTGATATGATTATATGTTAGATAAAAATGGATTTTGCGAATGGGCCGAATGAAAGAGTGATAGATGCATTTACAGGTTTGTTCGAAAGTCTTTTGTTATTCTACTAGAAACCTAGAATTCAGAAGAGAGGTAGTTTATAGGCAGTAAATGTCAGTTGAGAATGAATTTTTAGAAAGGAAGCATATTTGGCCACGGTTACTATTCTGGAAAGTTTGGTGATGATGAGTACGTCCGAGACCCTTGTCAGAACAAGGCGGTTATCTGACATTTTGGAAGTCAGTAAGTTTCTGCGTCCAAATATGGACGAAACTGACGCATTGTTTTTTAGAGTCCTTTTCTGAAGTTAGTTATTAAATGGTGGGAAAACAGAGCATGCCAATCCTTTATTTTATAATAATCTCGCTTTTTTAAATAAAATCCCGATTCGGTAGCGTTTATCAAATGTATTATTTTTAACGCATCGAATAAACGATTGGTACATTTTGAGTGTTCAGAATTTTATACATCTCTGCTAGTGCTCCCTGAACTAAGATAAAGTGTAGAATTTACCGAAAATCACCTTACAAAAATGAAATAAAAATATATTTTGTGGTTTAGTATAATCATTGATTAACTTATTCTAACAGAATATACCCAATCTAATTGAAAGCCGTGCCTCTACGAAAATAAGCATACGTACCGCGGCGCCCCCAACCACTTACATGTCGACCACCGTCTTTATGTGTCAGCGTTGCCAGCTATTGGACTGGGGCAATATGGTGCATAAGCCAGTCAATATAGCTTAATCCTAGCAATATTGACTCTATTTCGAGTAATCTAAAGTTATAAGTTTTATGAAAATCCTTAAATCAGTTTTCCTGCTTAATTTTGATTGAAATGTTTAGGTTTACATTTTGAGAAACAAAGATTTGGTGACAACAGAATCTAAAAAATACAAAGCATTTTCGTAAAATAAACACATTTTTAAACTTATAGTGGCTTGGTGGACGAGTAGGATGCAAAATAAATATTTCTATACATTTTTTATGTGTGCTTATATAAAGGAAAAAAGTGTATTTACCATGCCACTGAATATGCGTATAGAAAACTTTTGCTCTCAGTTTGCTGTGGAACAAACGTTAACAGACAGTGAAAAATTTAGCATGCAAATCCATGTGATGCATCATAAAAAACTGTATAAAAAGTCGAAGTTTTTGTGAGGTTTCTGTCGATGATGGTACAGAATATTAAAATAACTACGTAAAACATGGGAAATATATTCAAATTTGCAGAAATGTGTACGGAAAACATATATATTTTTATATTCTATAAGCTTAGATAGCTGGAGTACGCGAAACGAAAATGTTTCTCTATCATGGTGTTTTAAAAAATCTATGGTGCGTGAATTTGGCTAATAGGTGCATAGAATTACCAAAGTTGAGAGTGTATAAATATACTAAGATCAAAAAAATTTCATATACCCTCTACAACCCCCAACTCCCAAATTTCAAACCCTACAAATTTTTTTCTGAAAATGATCAGTACCCTCTGTAACGACAAAAACGAACTTTCGGCAATTTTTATTTTTTCGTTCTTGACTTTTTTCTCCGCCGTCAATTTTCAAAAACTAGAAAGCTTTTTCTCGTTTGGCATAGCAACAACCTGGTGTGAAAATTTCATCAAAATACGAGCAATACTTCTCAGCTTACAGTCAGGCCAAGGATTAGCGGACAGACAGACTGGCTGACATGGTTTTATGAAAATCCTTAAATCAGTTTTCCTGCTTAATTTTGATTGAAATGTTTAGGTTTACATTTTGAGAAACAAAGATTTGGTGACAACAAAATCTAAAAAATACAAAGCATTTTCATAAAATAAACACATTTTTAAACATATAGAGTAGCTTGGTGGACGAGTAGGATACAAAATAAATATTTCTATACATTTTTTATAATAAGAGTCTGTGCTTATATTAAGGAAAAAAGTGTATTTACCATGCCGCTGAATATGCGTATAGAAAATTTTTGCTCTCAATTTGCTCGGGAACAAAAATTAACAGACAGTGAAAATTTTAGCATGCAAATCCATGTGATGCATCATAAAAAAAAACTACCTAAAACTTAGGGAAATATATTCAAATTTGCAGAAATGTGTACGGAAAACATATATATTTTTATATTCTATAATTTTTCAACTATTCGCTTGATCTTTTGAATCTTAAGTGTTTGAAATCAGCAACAAATTCGTTTTAGTAATTGTCAGATGACAATATTTGCGGCAAGTAGTTTTTGCAAGACCGCAACACAGTCTTGGTCTTGCAAAAAATGCAATCTTGGTGTTGGTCTTAGTCTTGCTAGCAAAACCAAGACTAAGACTGGTCATGCATCTTACCAAGCTCTAATAAGGTTGGGCATATTCTTGGAGAATTCGTTAATCATTGGTAAAACCTATTTTTGATTGGTAGAGGACAGACGGATGATGTCTTTTTAAATTTCAGACGAGTAAGAATTCATTGTCCGAGTTAGAAAAACGAGAAAGGAGAGCGATGGAACGAAAACTTAGCGAAATGGAAGAGGAACTTAAGGTACATACATACGCCAGTTTGTATATCAGTTTAGTTTAGACACTATAAACAATACACAAACTTCTTATACGATGTTTCATAAATATAATTTGAAAAAGTACGATAATAAAATAAGCTTTTATCGAACTATAAATATAAATTTCGTTCGTCAGACCACATACGGCCAATAATAGACAGCTGTTTCGTGCTTTTTTGGCATCAGCATGATCTATACTTGATCTAAGGTGGAACAACGAACGAAAGCTGAGCAAATATCCTCGACGATATAAGGTCTATCGAAATAAGTCAGCACAAAGTGCCATCTCTTACCAGAATCGACCGCTTTCGTATTCACTCTTGCAGTGGTCGATTCTGGTAATAGATGGCACTTTGTACTTTCTTATTCCGATAAACCTTGAACAGTTATACTTTTATATCATGTTCTTAATCTAAAGGTCATCAAAATTGATTACTGGTATTTTTGAAATATCCTCTCAACTACAAAACATTATCTTTCAAATACTTTGCTCTAGCTTCTTCTATCTAGACACAGTTTGTTTTCTTTCATTCTGTTTTTCCTTAAAAAAATTTACCCTCTTAAATCATACTAATCTTGCATTTATACATCTTTCTAACAACTACACATTCAGGGTTCTTTGGTAGTCAAACATGGAGATGTTTCGCTATACTAAATTCAGATGAAAGGGTTGTCGCAGTTAATACATGGTGTTTCGTATCATGGGAGCAATTTTCTAGTGGTGATTCATTGGTTGGTGGTTGTTCTTTGTTTGTTTTGTTTTCAAAAGTACCGCTTTGTTTTGAAGATACAGTCCCTAATCGGTTTTTCTTGAAGAACTTTTAAATGTTACCGTTTAATCCAAACAAATATCTATGGAAAACGGTTCACTCATTTAGTTGCCCAATAATGCCTAAAGTGCAATATTTTTGGAAAGCCTCATCAAATATCTAAAAAGTTGGTTAAAAGCCTAAAACTTGGTCAAGTGATTTGAAAACTCATATTCATCCATATCCATCCTTTACCACAAATTACAATATTTTTAAAATTGCCGAATCATCATGTCGGAATCAGTATCATGAACAATAATAGTACTGAAATAAGACTGTTGGTTTCAAAAACTGATATAATTTCACCAAAATCAAGTAAGAATACATTTATTCAGCCAATAGACTAGGCTTTACCAAACATATCATTTTAGAGCCATTATCATACAGAATGCAAAAAATGGCAATATCGCTATAGTGCTAGTTCTTCACATGCGAACCAAATGATATAATACTATGCCGTCAAAATTAAATAGTCAGAAGACAGAATAGTCTTAAAGTAGCTAATAAATCACCCTATGAATTCTTTCCTCGTGGTTTGGAAGTACCATGTATAAATGTTCACCAAAAACTGATAAATTGAGTACTAATAAAAATCATTTGAACAAGAGTATTACTACTAGTATATTCTTAGGAAATTTTAGCATCAGTTCAAGTACGCCAGTTGACAACCAATGTATTTGTATCTGAAAATAATATTTTTTCTGCTTTAAATATGCAGCATCGTATTTCAATTGTAGCGTAGGGGTGTTGTGTAGTTATAGGTGTGAGGTATTAGCTAGCTACATGTTCTATGTTGTTCTAGCAATTGCAAAAACTGAAAGCAGAGAATGAACGTTTAAAGGCAGACAACAGGTCCCTTACGCGCGTCATCAACAAACTTACCAACTCTGCGAAAAAATAGTAGGTAAAGATTAACGCAAAAACGAACTCAAATTCAAAAGTGTTGCTCTCAGTGCTCGGCTGTTGTTTTCTTTTTCTGTTTTGTTTTCATTTTTCGTTTACATCATCGTTCTGTGATTCGAGGCTAAACCACAAAAAAAATCAGCGGAAAATGGTGGATCTACAGATTTGAGATGAAAAAGTTTCCTACAGTTTATTTTGTTGAATCAGTTCCCAAAATTTCTTACTTACTAGTTGGAAATTCAACCTGCAAAAAAGCGCACAGGAAATAAAAAATGGCGTCGAGGAAGGTTGACTCTGCATCTCCTACGCAACGCCATCATCCTTTGAGAAAAAAGTCAGTTACGAACGTGTGCAACAGAAAAATTAAATGGATAAGTCAGTCAAACAGGCCCATACAATTAGTTTAGAGATTCTGTCCCCGCCCTACCGGTAGGTGCTGTCCATATGGCAACGTGGTCCCTTTCCACATTTGCGCGGTAGCGAGGTATCGTTAATTTCGTGCATGGCCCGTGTATGCTTCTTGTGCTGCAGTACGGATAGATTAGTCATCTGGACCGGTTCACCGGGCGGTGAGCTTAGATACCAGGAGTACGCGAAACGAAAATGTTTCTCTATCATGATGTTTTAAAAAATCTATGGTGCTTGAAGTTGGCTAATAGGTGCACAGAATTACCAGAGTTGGGAGTGTATAAATAACTAAGATAAAAAAAATTCATATACCCTCTACAACCCCCAACTCCCGAATTTCAAACCCTACAATTTTTTTTCTGAAAATAATCAGTACCCTCTGAAACGACAAAAACAAACTTTGGGCAATTTTTATTTTTTCGTTTTTGACTTTTTTCTCCGCCGTCGATTTTCAAAAACTACAAAGCTTTTTTTCGTTTGGCATAGCAACAACCTGGTGTAAAAATTTCATCAAAATTAGCGGATAGACAGGCCGACATGGTTTTTCAGGATGTACAAGTCATATAAGATCCAAAAAACACAATATCAATTTTTCAAAAATTTTTACGGTTGCAATACTTCTTAGTCTAGTCGCTTAGGAAGTATAAGCAAGGTTTGTATTTATAAAATATTAAGTTATCTCTCTATCGCGCCTTTTGATGATCAACCATTCGTTATGCCGATATGCTGTTACCATAACTTCTTTTTCTGTATACGATACTACATGGTTTGAGGAAATCACAAATATGTTTAGTGAATGTTATATGAAAGCTGAAAACGTCGTTAATGACGTCAATAAACCAATGGCATTGTCACCCCAAATGCCTTGATGTCGAACATTTTCTATGGATATAACCATTTCCGCATACTCCAAATATACGAGCGCAGCCGATTTTGGACTGATTAAATCTGCAGTCACTTTTCATTGCTCTGAGCTATTTTCCATAGAAGGGAGCTTAACGTGGGGCCCATGACCTTGTGCCATAGTAACCGCCTTAACAACGCCGAACATTTAGCGTCCGTATAACATCAAAAATACGTTCTCGGCATAACATGGCACCTAATAAAACGTTTTCTAGATTTCGATTCCTTAATTTTTCTCATCTTACGATCCAAGATCCGCCATTTTACCTTGAACATAATAATTAAGATACTTAAAAAAATGTATATACGTATATCTATAACTCTGATTATAACAAATTGGCGCTCAACGTGAGGTGATATTTCGTTATATTCAGATTATTCATTCAATAAAAAAAAGATAGTTACACAATCATCCTTGGTGTGGTTTGTACCTCACTCTCTCTGTTATATTGTTTTGATTCCTAACAGCTTCGCCTTCAAACTAAATCATACGTTTATTGGGGGCCATTTGTTTTTTTTTGCGTTGCCCAATCAGATTTCTGTTTTCTCATTGTAAATATCCTTAACTGTACTAACCATCTCATTTGTTTGGGTTTTCTCGTCCTCATTTATTAAAAAGCGATCTACTATCATACGCTGGCATATCGTTTTTGTATGGTTGCGCATATTTTTTTCAGATATTCATTGGTAAGTATCTTAAGGCTGGAATAGCTATTGTCACGTAATGGCACTTGAACTCACCATCCTGGAACCTCGCTTGAGCAAAAAAATTCAATTATACCATTGTCTCCTTTAGGCACTCACGCGTCTGTAATTCAATCAATTATATTTTGATACGTGAGATTTAGCATTCATTAACGCAAAAATATCCGAGGTAAAAGCAGATGCGTAGCGTCATCTAGGAGAAGATGTCACAGCTTTTACTAAACAGAGAAATCCATATACGAGTACCACTGACGTCGTAATGTGTGCGAGAGAAAAGCGTGAGAAGCGTGCACATTGCCTCGTCAGTGATATTTGGATTTCTCTGTATATACTTTGAAAAGGTTAGTGCCTTGTAGATGGTGCCGTGGCCACCGATGTGCTGAGCATAGGTGGATTTTTAAAGTATACAGGATGTCCCAGAAATAACACGCCAGAGTGACATGGGAGGTATATTGGCTTCAGATCTATCAGATAAAATCAACATGACTTTATTAAAAGTTGTCTAGTTTTCGAGATATTGCCACTTTTAAGTTTTTTCACTGCTAATTGTTTGTCTGTTATGGCTATAAAGAAATTCTAACATGATTTTTTTCCTGGGTTACATTTAATAGTTGGTTGAGACAACCAAGTATTCATTTCATTGAAAACTAGCACGCTATGCTAAAAGAACTAAATTATTACATTTGCTTTCAATGCGAAAACCTTTACTAAAGTTGACTCATTACTGTTAGAAAAATGTACCAGACTGACTCAGCAAATGAGCTTAAAACTAGCTATTAATGGTCTTTCAAAAGTAGTATAACATTTGTAGGTTCTTTTTACTAAAAACTGAATAATTCCAACTTTTGTCATTGAAGTCGTAATATGAAATACTACAAAGAAAAAATAATAAGTGCATCTGTCTTTTGTGTTCAATTTACAACTTTGTCGTTGCTTTTTATTTTAGCAAATGTCTAAAACAGCTATTCATTATCCTTTTTTATTCATTGTTTAGGCATCAAAATAATGAACAAAACATTAATTAGGTTGTATTTTTTTATTTCCATTGATTTTTACAGCATTCAAATCAAATAAAGAATTAGGAATAATTATTAACATTTTAAAATAACTCAATGAAAATTAAATTAACATCTTGTCATGTAAATATTGATGATTATTAAAATTATTTTTATTTTCACAACAGGAATCCGATCGACCAATGGATTTGGCAACGGTGTGCCTACTATGTTGGCGTGGCACTGCGTTTACGTTTCCCACCTTTTCCACTTTTCCGTACGGCAATTTCCCTAGGTCGTAGACGGTCTCTGACTGTCGATCGCGTAGGTACCACTCAGCGGATCTCGTAGACGGTGCCAGAATGTGTGCATGCTGCATGCACACGTGTTCCTCGCTTTCCTTGTTTCCCCCTATAGCCCCACGGTACCCCATGGGTGTTTAGACCTTAGGCCTTCGTGGTAGTTGGAGTGTAAAAAAAAGGTTTTCAAAATGTCTGCCACTGACTTTTATACAGCACCTGCATCTTCTTAAAAATTGTCCTTTTAAACGTCTTAAACTTAAATCGGATATTTTGCGTGCTGCTTGACGGATTCGATGGCGCATTTTATCGTCTGATCAGGTCTGGGGAGCGTGGGGGGCCTGCCAGCCAATCCATCTTCTAGTGAATGTTTCATCAAGATACCCAATTACTGCACCAGCATAGTGTGCAGGGCACCCATAATTCTTTAACCACATCCTTCTTCTTGTCTTAAGAGGCACATCTTCCAAAAATGGGTAGATGATGTTGCAAAAAATCCAGGTAAATTTAAGTTTTTAAGATCATTTGCCGATTACGTCTGGTACATTTTTTCCACACTAATCAGTCAAACTTCAGTTAAGGTTTTCGCATTGAATAATAATAATTTAGGTTTTTTTAGCGCACCATGCTAGTTTTCAGTGAAATGAATACTCGGTTGTCTCGAACAACTATTAATTGTAGCCCAGGAAAAAAATCATAAGCCATAACAGGCAAAACAAGAGCAAAAAGTAGGGATTTTTTGAAAAAACTTAAAAGTGGCAATATCTCTAAAACTAGAAAACTTTTACTAAGGTCATGTTGATTTTATTATTGATCTGCAGTCAATCTACCTCACGTGTCACTCTGGCGTAATATTTCTGGGACACCCTGTATATTATAGTAAATAGAGAAACAACTGTGGCATGTTCCTATAGATGCCGCTACGGTATCTCATTTTATTCTCAGTTTTTGGACGCGGGAATGTTAGACTCGGTTGGCTAGCTTTAAATATAATGCGTTAATTAATGATTTGGGTGACAGGTCGTGAGTTTCGTGATGTGACAAATGCGTTTCAGACTTTATACATATGAATTTATTACATTTTTTTCATTTGTCGTATGTATACTATTCTACAATTTTATTTATACTCGTAACCACAAAATGACGAGATTTTTGAGCAAGTAACATAACAACACATCTAAACCTCATATTTACGAAGTGTATTATTAGATTTTTAATTAATCAGTGTGTCTAGAAACATCCATAGCGTAAGATGTCGAGATCTATTTTGTTAAAATTTAAAGTTTAACGGGGCATGTGCGTCATTTATTTCTAAAAGTAAAAAAGAAGCATTTTATGTCCTAAACTTAAATCTATATTGGATTTTGACCAAAACCGCAGTCCTTTTGTGATAGATAGATCTTGGTTATGGAAAGAAGAAATTTGAGATAAATCTTTCCAAGTCCAGATTTCCATTCTAATTCAAGGTTTTCACAAAGAGTGCTATTTAAAGATTACAAATTTATCTCCGGATACAATAAATTATTAAAACATGATAGCAGTTTGATTTGAAAACATATGTTGCAAACTGCGAGTTTTGCCAGATTTTTCAAAAATTATTGGAGTTTGTGACTTACAAAGCTTAATCCCGTTACACTCATAAATTCACGTTCTGGAAAAATATTTTCTTTGTAGTATTTTCGTTCATCTGCTTCGTGCTTATATTTATATTCATTGTGGAAACATAGTAGAATTATTTCAAGGACTTTCAATATATTTCCCGCGCGTTATACGTTGTCTTTATTTTTAAAATGGGGACTTCCTTGCAAAATGAAAAGTTTATTTAAAATGTACGTGCAAAACTACCACAGCGTCTACAAAAATATATCGACCGAAATGGCGGGTATGTATAAGAATAGAGGAAGCTGTGTAATGTAACAACGTATTAAGTGGAGTGTTGGGGCAATAAGGTACCTATTTCCAGAAATCTACAGTCAGAAAATTTTATGTCAATCCTGAAATAACATTTTTTGTTTATTTCGATTGAAATGCTACAATAGGTTTACATGTTGCGAAACACAGATTTGGTGACAACGAATCGAAAAAATATAACGCATCTTCGTAAAATAAATTCGTTTTTGAAAATAATGTGGCTTGGTGCCTTATTGAATAAAAATGTATATTCCAAGGGTAATGGTTTGTTTTACAGGGTGCGGCAGCATAACTTCCTTTTTTTAAATTCAATAAAACCGATGGTATGGTTCAGAACATTTTCATTTGTTTTTTCAATGTAGGCGCTGGCGTAAAATTGTGTTTTGCATAGTTTTGAAAATCAAATCAGATGGGTGATGTCCCTCCCATACACTGAGTAAACCTATTTCTGGCATTTGCCATGACTCTCTTGTCAGCATAGCAGGCGTTATATTGTCAATTTCTTCAAGGATGTTGGTCCTTGGGCGCTTCACATAAGCACAGGATTTCAAAAAAACCCATAGAAAAAAATCACAATGCGCCAAGTCGGGAGAGCCGACCGACCACTTCAAATCGCCCCTAATCTAGATGAGGCACTCTGGAAGTGTTCCCTTAAAACAGACATCGATGATCTTGAAGTGTGTGCCATTGTACCATCTTGTTGGAGCCAAACGTTCCAAGTCCAACTCATCTAGCCGTGGAGAAAAACCTGTAACATGTTTACATACCAAATTCCGAATTCACTCACACTGCCACTCAAAGAACCAGAAACGAGTAATTAGAGCCGAGGAAATTACACAACACACTGACTTTAGTTGAATGCAAAGGCCTTCGATGCAATTCTCGGTAATTTTTATCTGCACAGTAGCACGTATTTGTTGACGAATTCACACAAATGAAAATGGGCTTCGTTGCTAAAAAAAGAAAAAACAATGGCGTCGTCAGGAACGATTTCGAGAAGTCGCTGACGACGCTGACTGAATGTCGTGCATTTTTAAAAAGGAAGTTATGCTGCCGCACCCTGTATAAACATATAACTCGGATACCCGTTGTTAAAATTGAATCAGCACACTACCTTAAATTCAATTTAAAATTGACGAATACTAATTAGCAATGCCAAGGCACCCCTCAAATTGACGCACCTTTCTCTTTGCTCTCCCTCCTTCCTTCCTTCCTTCCTTCCTTTCTTCTTCCCTTCTTTCTCCCTGACTTTGTTTGGTATCTGGGCAACCAGACCTGACAGACCTACTGACTTACAAGACTTCAATCAAGAGCAAAGGTCCTACGGACCGCTTTGACAGACAATGACGAATAGACTACCTTAAATTTGTCAGACTTTTTATCTTCTATAAAGTTCTTTTTCATGACAGATACGGAGCCAAATACCTCCTCCTTTTCCATTAGAACTGTGTCACATGCGTTCTCTATTTGGGAAAAAAATAATGTTCCTGAAGGCTGGAGAAGGTCACATGGCATACACATGGATTTATTTAGTCAAGAAGGGCATAAGCTATTCATCACAAAATTACATATTATTGACACGTATCAAAATTATTTGCTGTCTGCGATAGTCGTTCTCAATAAGGTTAACGCTATATTCTGATAAATAGGTGGTTTGAAATTATTATCTAGTGGTACTGTGAAACTAAAACACAAAAGTTTTCTTTAATAATAAAAGCATAAGCCACATCTATAACGTCAGTAAAGTCATAAGCCACAAATTTATTTATTCGCCATTTAGAAATTATAGCGACATCTATTGGTGAATTAACAAAAATCAAGATCTGACATAGATACCTACGACACGGGTGCTTTTTTATATACTCGAACCACCACAAAAGCCTAAGGCCTAGACATCCATGGGCACCGTGGGGCTATAGGGGGAAACATGGAAAAGGGGGAGACACCACACGGACTCTAGCGAGGAATACGTGTTCATTCTGGCCCCGCCTTACAGATCCGATGGGTGGTACCTCCGCGTTCGACAATGAAAGACTACCACCTACGGACAATCAAAGAGCCAAGAAAAAATTCGCTTGGGACGGGATTCGAACATGCGCGGCGGACGGTGACTGATTTGAAGACCCATAACGTCTATCACTACGCCACCGCTGCCGCCTGGGTGCCACGGGTCCTTTTAGATAAAAAATTAGTATATTTTTCTAATATGGTTTAGGTACCTTATTGCCCCAGGCCCTCCAATTATAGGAAATGATAGTAATTTTAAATTTGGGATTTCGCTCGTACAAAAACATTTTTTGCTGTGCCATCCTCGCTTTCTCTCACCAACTGCTTTACTTTGTCATCAGAGTCCATCTTAAACAAAAAAATAATTTCGATTTGTGTTACAGAACCTAGAAAACCTACGATCAGAAAACCAGAGGCTGAAAGATGAAAATGGAGCGTTAATCAGAGTAATCAGCAAACTCTCAAAATAGCATAGGTTTTATCAATAATTATTTATCATAGTATCATCTACATCATCGTTAACGACCGATAGCATTTTTTTTCGTTAAATGTAAAATATTTATTGTTAGATATATAAATATTGCGAGAGGTCTCCTTCCAGTAGTTCGGAAAAGCATCAAGCAATTTCATAATGGATTTATATACTCGTAAACTAGATAACAATTCTAGTTGAGAACTGAGATGATTTCGGCGGTCAGGCTTCATCCCATTATGGAGATTACTTGCTTATGCCATCGAAGATCTTATTACTGCAATATTGGTGTCCTTATCTATAGTATTTAATGAACAGAATGAAATCAAAACGGCCAGAGAATAGGTAATTTTGTACTACAATTTTGGCGACAGAAATGTTTTTGGTAATATTGTTGGATCATAATGATATGTTGAAATTGGCGTCATGATAGGGCAGGAGCATTTGCCGCGATTTTGATAAACCCGTTTGTTCGAAAATCTTGTGTGAAAAAATAATAGAAACAATTTTGTTCGGAGTTATTATTCATCATTTTGACGCTATGAAAATTTGTCATATACTCACTACGTTACAAGAAATTTAAGGGTGCAGATACATGTATATTTTCGCTTTTATATCGTAGTATGCGGGGTGCGGAGTAAGTATCGCGACTGTTTTGGTACGAATTTTCAACTTTTGCTCCTTGTATTCAAGAACCATCAAGATGTCGAAAAAAACGTAAACATTTTTTATATCAAATTTGACTTTGGAAAATAATAAATTAGTAGTGTTTTTTAGTCTCAGATTCTTAGTTTAGCCATTATAAGCAGAAACATCATTACCTGTACCGTTACCCTTTGATTTCTCGTAATCTGCTGACCATACGGCAAATTCTTATATAAGCTAAATGATGAAGAATTTAAGTCCCTGCAAAATTGTTTCTATTACTCTTTTACATAGGTTCGTTCGGTTTCGAGATTTTTGAACAAACGATACCACCAAAAGAATTAACTGTTGCCCAAATTGTAGGATTTCCTTATAAAAAAATCTCCCTAGTTCTGGGCGTATCTTAGATAGCATAATATCGTGTTACATATCAATGAAATTGTGTAAACGCTGTTCCGAACATGGAACACGAGCGATTGATCAACCGTCTTTTTTACATTTTAGTATTACCGTTTGTATTTTCTGACAATAAACATAAAGAAACATAGACTTAGAAAGGCATTCTCTCATATCTGTAATTTCTCCTTCTCTAATGTGTGATATATATACCGACCTATATACTACTAGCATCGAAGTTTTATCATTCATTGCCATGTTTAGATACTTAACACATACACGTAAGAGAACAATGATCATTTCAGTAGGAGTCTTTTTTGATGTTATATCAAACAGACATTGAAATATGCACTTTTGTCCACGAATATGGGAATATTAAATGGAAAACGATCGATTGGTGTCTGCAAAGAAAGTGCATTGGAGTCAAAAATGCTGATTTTTCGATCAAGAAATCTTATGATGAACCAGAATGAAAATTTTTGCATAATGTTGTAGGGGTATGGGACAAAGCGGGAAAGTCGGAAATGTAAGTGGAGGTTAAAAAGCAGGTGCAAACTTTAAGTTGTGATTTGCGTATGTATTGTTTACGTATAAAACAAAGTACGTGCAAAAAGCAGGAGGTATATTGCGAAACAAATTTTACGTGTCTACAAACGATATTTCAATGTTTGTTTGATGATTCCTGTTAAAAAGATACCTATTTCAGGCATTGGCTTTTATTACTCCAGTCAATATAGCGTATTTATAAATTCGAAGCAAAAAGTAATGGAGTGAATTTTTATGCATTTATGCCCGACTGTACCGCCTTTCTCAAATCTACTACTCAGCAAAGGTGATCTGAATGTTAAAGTCAATCTAGGATCGAACTTTTGTTACACCACTCCGATTTTGTGAAAACTTAGCTGACATCTGACAACGATACATCCATGGAGCTCATATACCAGGAGAAACTACGGCGACGCTGTTCGTGCTGTAAAAAAGACCCCGAAACTTGGCGCCTTAAGTATCAGTGGTGCTTTAACAGGGATGTTAGGGGATTTTCCTCCAAATCTGGGAGATTTTTACTTGTGGAATTTTTTGGGGATATAATGTTCTGGGGGAAATCACTCATAAAAAGTTTTATCAAAAAAAAAACAGATACCTGCAGATTCAAGCGCCCAAATCTCGTACTATAACCACAGCTTAAATAACAATTAGCTATGAAATTCTTCTGTCAGTGTCAAAAATGCCGCCCTTTCGCCGGAGAAAGTCGAATGTAAATTCCCCCAGTACGAATATGAAAGAGTTTTTAGTGCTCAGCAGCAGCCGGTACACTATATCTTACCGAAATATTATCATTTTAAGATTGCAAAGAATAGCTGCAGCCGCTGACTTGACACGAGGCAACACCGTCTGCTGCTGAGCACTAAAACATCTTTCATCGTTGTACTGGGGAACTTTATTCGACTTTCTCCGCCGAAATTGCGGCCGTTTTTGACACAGACAGGAGACTTACATAGCTGATTGTTATCTAAGCTCTGCTATACCCTCGCGCATGCGCAGTAGCTGGTAATTGCTTCGATCACTGCGCCCTCAGTTAGGCGTCCAGTTTTGAGGTCGTTTTTTTTTTTAACTTTGTAGGTTCTCCAGGTATATAGGCTCCATGAGTGCATCTGCAGTAATATTCTAGGGAAATTACGTCTGCAACCACAAATCAGTACGTAGGTTGTCCGTTTTCTTTCACACTAAATTTATATGAATAAAAAGGAAAGCCAAGTCATATAATCACATTTAACTTGATCGCAAGTAATTTATCTCTATCTTCGTCTGTTACTTCCTTTTGATCATCATCAGTTTATAAATGGTCTAGTATTCGCATCCCTAAAAGGCATTAAAACATTGGAGGGGTAATCTGGAAACCTAGAAGTATATTGTGCTAGTTAGGCTGAGGGTCATATCTAAGGTTATATAAGTTATCAAAACATGAAAAGTAGGTTACCTTCTTATCAAATCTGCCTTTTCCCAGTACCTTTCTATCAAATCTATTGTTTTCCTATCTAGTCCTCCTAGCGGGAGCACAATCGGACATCGCTGCCACTGGGTGAATGCATCACGCCTCATTGCCAAACTTTGCTGTTGTAACTGAAGAGTAACTATATCATTATGCGAGCTTCTTAGAACTTAATGAAGGACTTGGGAGAACTTTCCATATTCGCAGTGTGTAATTCACCAAGAATTTGGCAGACTATGGTCATTGAGTCAAATCATAAAAATGGCAAACTGCCAAGTTGACATTTTATGTTAGAAAATCCACCTTAAACAAGGAAATTGTTTGGCTTAGCTCAGCCGTTCGAGTTTCAACTTTTAAGTGTATCTGGTGCAACAATAATGTGGAAATCAACCTTAGCAAGGCAGTGCAGCAGGGCATTAATTTCTAACAACTATCCTCTCATGAAAGGTAACACTTTTCTACCAATATGTCAACGGAATTTGTTCCATTTAGCTGTATTTCATGATAATCGGTTCAAAAATCGTAGCACCAACGATATTTCGGTATTTAAGTTTTACCTTCACTTATATGTAAATGATTTTAAGCAAATGTTCAGACTATTGACATTTTTTTGAAAACGAATGGTTAGCACTGTATGGAGTATGTTCACCTATAATTTATTTCTTTATCACCTTATACATTTTACCGCATTTTAGATTTTTTATTTGAGTAAACTTTAAGTGTTGTGTAGCTTCAAAATATTTGTTATGAAAACTGTGTTGCGATCGAAAACTGTTTAAAATATATTTTTGTAAAATAAAACAATACTTTTGTCTTTTCCTATCTAGCTGTAACTTAACTTATAGTGTCGCTAATGTGCATTGTGCTAATGTTGTTATACACACGGATTTGTAATTTTACATAATTTATTCGTTAAACTAATGTCTAATGGCGTACTCTACAAATTTATGCAATGTTAGGGCCGACATAATTGTTTTTTGAAAAAATTCTTTGAATCTAGTCCAAAGACATTGTGACATTAACCTTTTAAATATAAACTTGTTTATCTTTGCGATAATCTTTTATTCATAGAATAAAATATAGGTTATGGGCCCAGCACACATCCACTGTATACTATTTTTCACAACAATTCATCACGCTTTGACGTATATCAAAGTTACCAGCTGATAATAAGTGACATGTTAAGTCTATACTGCTGACAATAATGATTCTGGCGAAACTCGAGACCATATACAAAACTGTTTGTAACGTTGATGAAGTTGTTTATACATGCAGGGTGTTCATTTGAGCACTTTCCACCACGGAGTTATCTAAAACCTCTGATTAAAAGAAAAAACGCCGAGACACGTCGAAATATTTGTCAAGGGTACAACTTTTTAACCAAAAACTACTTCACCCTCTGCCCCCCAGGGTCATTCCCTTAAAAATTTTAAATGACAAGGGGTATCGAGTAATAGCTTGTTTGAAAGGTCTTTCGAAGAAAATCTATTCATCTTAATTTGTTCAGATAGAAAACAAAAACACAAAAATATCAATTTTTATTTCAATAGGTGTTCAAAATGTTAGGGCTTGAAAAATCTACAATTCGTTTATAATTTAAAACGGGAACTACCAACGTAAACAGCAATTCGGAAGATTAGACGTGGCAACAACCAAATAACAATCCGAATTTTTTCCGCATTCTTTTCATCAACACATATCCTGGGCGAACTACATTTATTTGTTGCTAAGGGAAAGAAATAATTTAATTTGCTGTCAGTTACTTTTTCGACAATCTTGGGATAGTGAAAATTAATTTATTGATTCAGATTTTACTTCCAAAATGGTTTACACACTAGCCGAAAGAGTGGAAATGATTCTAATTTATGGTGCCCAAAATCAATGTGCTCGGCAAACTGCCGTCACGTTTAACGCCAGACATCCTGGAAAGATAACTTTTTACAGGTATGTTTTGGATCTTGTTACTAAATTTATTCAAACTGGATCTGTTGCAAACAAAAAACGTGATCATCGGAGAGTTTTGGATGAAGCCGCTCAAGTTGAAGTTTTGGGTCATTTTGGAATGAATAATAATACTTCATTACGCAAAATTGATGCTCTGACTGATATTTCATTAGGCTCTGTACACACAGCTACTAAACGGCATAAATTTCATCCATTAACACGTTCGTTGCCGATGACTCCGATCGGAGCCGATTGGTGACCTTCGCCATGTGCCGACGGCTCCGATGGGAGTCATCGGCACATGGAGTCATACGAATAATCCTGGTTTCAATGCTGCCGGCTCCGATCGGGAACAATTTTTTTCTCTACCAATATACACCTTTTTTAAATTCTATACCAATATAAATAACTAATTAGTCTGATTGGCGAAAAAAGGTATTTGGCTATTGGGAATAAATAATCCAGTCTGAGTAGACAGCGAACGTGTTAATTTTGCAAGAGTTAATCGAAGATGATTTCGATAGGCGAGTTGTGTTTTGTGAACAAATGACTGCTGCGATTAATGATAATACCATTAGTGTAAAGAGTATCTGTTTCAGTGATGAATACACATATAATCTAAATGGATTCGTTAATAAGCATAACTGCAGATATTGGAGCAATGAAAATCCTCATGCTTTTGTAGAAGGGCATACCCAGTACCCCCAAAAAATTTATCTATGGGCAGGCATTTTAGGAAACAAAATGATTGGGCCATTGTTTATTAATGGAAATTTGAATGTAGACATTTATTTGGATATTTTGGAAAATGCCATCAATCCGCTTATCACTGAAACCATTGAAAGCCTTATCGAAAATGATTTATTAAACCCTGTACTTGATGAGGCTGAAATATATTTCCAGCAAGACGGAGCTCCTCACTACGTTCTTCCGGTTCGGCAATGGCTAGACGACGAGTTTCCAGATAAATGGAAAGGGCGAAGAGAGTCTATAAAATGTCCTGCTAGATCTCCTGATTTGACGCCATTAGACTTTTCCTATGGGGCCATATGAAATCTATTGTGTTTACTCCCAAACCTGAAAGTTTGCATGAACTTCGTCAACGCATCATCGAAAGCTGCCAGAATATCCCACAACACGTTTTTGAAAATGTCCGTTAGGAATTTGAACATCGCCTATATCATTCTTTGGTCATTAACTTGCAACATTTTGAACACTTATTGAAATAAAAAGTGATATTATATATTATGTTTTTGTTTCCTATCTCAACAAATTAAGATAAATAAAGAGTTTTCTAATTTTCTCGAAAACAAATCGGCTGATTTTAAAAAATCAAATCTCAAAATAAAGGACTTCGAAAGACCATTGAAACAAGCTATTACTTGATAACCCTTGTCATTTAAAATTTTTAAGAGGGTGACCCTACGGGGCAGAGGGTGAAGTAGTTTATGGTTAAGAAGTTGTCCCCCTTGACAAATCTTTTGAGGTGCCTCGGCGTTTTTTCTTTTAATCAGAGGTTTTCGATAAATCTGTGGTAAGAAGTTTTCAAATGAAGATCAAGCATTGTTGCAAAGTATGAATCAGTACAAAAAACCACAACATAATACCACCACAGAACATTTTCCCCTCTTAATACGACTCTGTCTGCAGAACTGTCCCCAGTTGTGTGCCACTTGGTGAAAAATAGTGTACCTGCTTCTTGCATGTGCTTATAGGATCAATAAGATTCTCCTTGATTTGAGCAAAAACAGAACAGTTTTTACTTTAAAAAAAAAATACAGACGTGGGTTCAGTTAACATCCATATATTATTCAACATCACACAACATTTTTAAGCTTATTTCAATAACACCTTCTCTAATTCCTCAGGAGTTTTGTTAAAAATAGCCTGCGGATTCTCGTAATTATTCGTAGGATCGTTAACAGCTTGATACAGTTGTTTGTATATGGCCAGTAATACTTCAAAAGCTCTTTTCTGTACAGCCTTCTTGTGTTTAGTGGATGTTAGAAGTTGAATCTGCGGTAACAATGCTTCGTCTGGACTGGCAGCAAAGTAGTCTAATTTTTCCTAAAAATATGATACAAACTCAGGATCTATCAATAAAAAAGGAATATGTAGGATACATCATTAATAAAGACATGCGAATCACGTATTATAGACAGTAGCAACTCTGAATATTTTTGACAGAAGTATTGAGAGAATAGGGAATGTATATTTTTTAATTAAATATTTAAAAGTACAATTGCCGATGACATTGATTTAATCACAATTTTTGCGCGTTTCGCAGATATGACATAACTCATGGTTTGTCATTTTATCCGTCTTGTTAATTTGCTGCCATCGCTTGCTGTCGAGTTTTGAAAAGTTCTATTTTTGGCGCGCTTCGCTGTGACGTTACAAATGATAGTTTGCCGTTTTATTAATCAAATCCAAGCGGATAATCAAAATTTCTGTGTTATGTGCCGTCAGTTACACGAATCGCTTGAACGCGTTGGTTTTAACCGCGGTTTTGTTGCAAGTTGTTTATTTTAGAAAAGCGCGTATATACATATATCTCTTGATTATTTTTATTATCACTTAATAATCGGTGCATTTTCGTCTACAACTGTGTATGGAAAGTTTAAAAAAGAAACCTTTCATAATATTCATGGGAGAAATGTTTTTTCAGATTTTTTTTAATGATGGAACCATGGCTTTGTAGCTATGATAACTTTCAATTCTCTAAAGTTTTCCGCATGTCAAAGAAAACATTTATTGATTCAGCAGAAATGATCAAAAAAGATATTAGCACAACCGTATACAGGTGGACATCATCTAGTGAGTTTATATGGCCAAATTTTAATATTCTTGTGGTATATGGCTACACAGGATACTTTGTTAAGCATAGGAACTACCTTTAAAGTGTCCCCATCAACAACAGCAATGAGTATAACTAAAAAGGTGCTCCACTTTATGGTAAAACTGAAGTCAGCCTGTATCAAGTTTCCCAAAAATGAAGCTGAAATACAATAACAATATCCCATACCCGGCAAAATTGTAACTTGTCACATTTCAAATAATAACCAGAAATATAAAACTACTCCGGAGTTGGGTAAATATCACAATTTTGCGGTGATAACTATGACATATAACAGCTGATTCATGACTTCACGGATCTTATAACCAAACTGATAACCACACTCGCTTGAACGGATCGGTAAATACCAACCCAAAATGGTAAATGCCATTTTCATTTGGTTATCCGCTTGAATTTGATTATTGTGTTTGGTTGAGTTGTTGCCATGGTTTGGTTTGAAAGGTCCTATCACAGCCAACGTTAACTACTTTTATTTTTCTTTAGTTGTTTCTCCGACTTTATCCTGGCGGTGAAATTCTGTTGCGGCAGCACGTCCGCTGTCAAACCGTGTTGACATCTATGTTCAAAAAAGGGCGCAACCTATTGTAGTTTGGCGGATTCCTCGTGAGCCAGTACTTCTTGGACCTGATCAAATTGGTTAGGTTGACATTGACATCGACACATGATTGGTTGCTCACTTGTCGATATCGTTCACGCCAATAGCGTAGCGTTACGATATTTTAAAGTTGCTGAGTGTTTTTCCCATTCTTTATTAATTAATACTCGTAATTCTATAGCGCATAAGTACAAAGGGTATTATTAAAGTTGTGCAATACGACTTAACAAAAGGACGCAGGAGGCTGCATGTTGAGACATGTCCATGAGTGCATAGTAGCCGCCAGCAGCACGTCTGATGATTTTGTTGTTCACTCGTATTGACAGTGTAAAGTGCGGACTATGGCATCGTGGTCACGTAGTGAGATCAGGGCAGTTTGACGGTATAACTTTACGTGTGATTTAAGCATAGACCAGTGCTTAGAAGAAATGACGCTGGCATTAAAGAATGATTGTGCTCATCGTACGACTATATTCAGGTGGTACAGGGAATTCCAAAGGGGCAATTTCACTCTGGAGGAAACTGAGAGGGAAAGAAGGCCGCAAATGTCAGTAACAGAGGAAAACATTTCTGCTCTGAGGACATACCAACAGATAGAAGAGACCTTACACCTTTATGCACCAGCAATTCAGTCAATTCTGCATGACCATTTACAAGTAAAGAAACTTTGTTCTCTTTGGGTACCGCATAGTCTGACGGAACAGCAGAATACTCGTCGTACGACTTGGAGACGAAAGATGCTGAAAATGTTTGATAAGGGGCAATATCGGTATGTGAACAGCATCGTGACGGGTATCGAGACTTGGCTCTATTATGACGATGTGCCGACCAAGGATCAAAACAAAGTTTGGGTCTTTGATGATAAGGACACGCACGTAGCTGTCAGAAAATCCCTACCTGTTAAGGAAAAAATGATAGCTGTATTTTTCAAATCGAGCGGGATTGTGGAACGTGTCGTTTTGGTCACACAGAAGACAGTCACAGCTAAGTGGTACACGAAACAGTGCCTGCCTAAAGTCATAGAGTCTAAGAAAAACCTGCGGCCAAAGTCAAGAATGGACACTTGGTACCTCCACCATGATAACGCTCCAGCTAACCGCGCCAAAACCTGCACCGACTATTTGAATACTACTAGACTGAAACTTACAGTCCAGAGCTCGCTCCCTGCGACATTGCACTGTTTCCGCATGTGAAAATGAGCTACAAGGAAGTTAGTAAACGTTGCACCCATTTAGGTACTCCATGCATCAACTGACGCACAGATTTTAATTTTGAGAAAATACAACTGTGAATTCGATCATACTAGGTGACGAAAGTTGCCTAAATTTTTGTTCCAACCAAGGACAAAGCCGGGTCTGAGTTATCGAAAATGAAGATTCCCCGATTCAGTCGAAAAGTTGCTCATGTTAGTTTTAGGGTGTTTTCAAAATCTTGCACGAACGTCTAGATAGAAACAATGGAAGAACTAGATAACCCTGAATGTTACAAACGTCCAGTACAAACTTGAAGCACCCTCGTAGCATTGAAGCATAGACAACCAGACTTACGCATATTGCTAACGTTCGCGGACCGACTCAACAACGCGAAACGTGATAGTCTAGTCGACATGGTCATAAATCTGTAATAAATCAGTTGCAAGTGTGTTCATTACAGTATGTTAGCTTTCTCATTCCAAGCATAGTAGTTCCGAAAAAGGAAAGTTCCAACATTCTTGAACATATAAATTTTGAAAATACCAACCAGAAACGCTCTAAGATTGCTGGGCTCCATCCCCGGCACATCAGCCAACGGTTTCTTCTCCCCTGTACCGCTACCACTGTACTCTTGCAAGATAGCATACAAGGGACCCAGCCTGAGCCTATGCACCAGTGCCCCCGCTTGCTCGGCCACCAGCGTGTCCAGCTGCGCGTCGGCCTGCGCAGTCAACCGCTCTGCGCGCGCTGACGTGAATTCGAACATCTGAAGGCAGGCTAACGCATCGCGCACGCAGTTCAGCGTGTAGACGGCCATGTCGGCAGCTGGGAGGCGCGAGGCTTGCTCGGTCGCGTAACGGAGGAGGGGTTCCAGCACGCAACCGGTTATCTATAAAGAAAAAATATTTTGTTTGCTAACAGAATTTTTGAAATGTGCACTCGGACATCTTGGCCCATAATAGGACGCAGATTATGTGTCAACATTTACTGACTTACATATTTGGAAAATAAGACAAAGAGTAAAGTGGACATCACACACATACAAACCATCGCAAGAGGAAGGTGAGGGAGTTTATAATATTTTCCACGAGTATCCATTACGGTGGAAGGACGGCTAATTATCTAGTAATATTTCAAAATTCCCCATATCGGCAAAGCACACATAATTCTTACGGATCCCTCAATGCCAGGTAGACAGAGAATATTTTGTATGCCACAGATTCATTTTGTACTTGCTAACATCTCTTTCATTTAGAAAAGTTGATTTGCATACAAAAAACAAAACGGTACAAACAAGTTTTACTAGACTTACAACCGATTCGTTATTGACAACGTTGCAGACTAACACAAAAAGGTCACTGATCAGCAGTTCACCTCAGTAGACGTCAAAGCATGATGGATACTCGTGAAATAGGGTATAAAGGATTTTCCGATAAGAATGGCAGTGATGTCCAGTATTGCCCCAGCTAGCCGACGCATGTGTATTTGCATGTCAAACTGCCAAAAGTAGGTAAGAAAACGATTTGACGCACGTGAAATCAAATAGTCAAACCATTAAATTTTGTGGTTTCTGAAGAAGAATAATGTAAACATGTACAAAGAAGAGCAATCGTGCAGTGAAACTATGCATCATAATCAAAATTATCCAACCAAGGAGATAGTAAGTTGTTTGAATTGAGTGCACCAATGAATACCATAGAAGTTATAGTCATCAAAATAAAATACCACGTTCATTGACAAACACAGAATTTACTGCAGTAAAAAATGTAGAAAGCAAGTGAATTAGAGGATGAACTACAGGTGGTCAAAAGCTTATTGAAGGACGCCCAGCAAGAGACTGTCGATAGCATCTGTTAAAAAGAATCACATGGCATTTGAAGATGATGTAACTGGAAATAAGTTACACTTCCGAACTGGAAAACAATAAATCTGTCATCATCAAGCTGGAACGGAAGTTGAAAGAAAGGGTAAAACATAATCTGATATAGAAGAACAGCTTTCAGCTATTCCGACAATCAATGAAAATTTACAGACGCGATTGAGGCAGAAAACGACGAAAGATAGGACTGATGAAATTTCCCTGGTTATACGAAGAAAAGAAGAGATTGAAGTAGCAGCAGAATAATGATGAAGATGTACCTTTTCAAGATATAAACAGTATGAGCCATGCTAGTGATTTTAGTAATGAAAATTTAATTTAAAAATTAGTATCTAACGCTATAATTTTGGACGATGATAAAAACAATATCATGCAAAGCCAAAGAACGAATTTTTTGGAGAATCTGTGGCTTTGGTCTCGGAGATTAAGGAAGTGAAAAACTGCAGCGAAAAAATAAAAAAAAGTCTAGAGATCATTGCTGATGATGTGGCTAGCTGTTAATGTTGCAGCAACTTTAAACCCATTTCTTGAAGCTTACAACTATTCAGCATCTGTTACTGTTAAACCATGTATAGATTTTAGTGAGTTGAGTAAAACAATATTTATAAATGCTTTCAATTACTCGCAGGATGATATTCTAATTGTGATGATAAAAACGAGGAATGTATCAAATTTCTCATCCTTGAGACAAACTCTGATGCAAATACTTCCCGTTGGCAAGCTAAAAAACTTACTACTACTCGTAAAATTTGAATCTAAATGGGGTGAGGTGATTGGAAGGTTTATCCAACAACAAATCAAAATATACCGTCATCAAAATAGAAACACATCAATCGAATTTCACTCAAGAGTATCAACCCATCCAAAGAGGTGTGTGAACATCATCAAGGAATATGTTGCTAATAAAATATCTCAGACTTTGATGACAGTACTGAAAATAGTTGAAATATCATCTTCAGTAGACAGGAGACTGTTAAATGATCTTACAAACAATAAACTTACAGAAACAATGATCCAAAAAGACAAGTTTTTTCGTCACTAAGGATCATTGGTCTAGATGCAAGAGTAGTAAGGACATAGTTGTATTTCATCAGAATATCCAGTGTATTTCAAACTCTTTGATTCAGAAGTATTTTCAGATGATCATTGATATTTTATGTATGTCTAAATTACTGGGCCTAAGAGTGGTATTTACTGATTACACACTAGAAAATTTCCCTGTATGTCTTATCACCAACATGGTGGTGTAGGAATATTTGTCAAAAAAGGTATTCGTTTTCAAAATGTATCTAGTCTTTCTGTCGAAAAAGAATTTAAATCGGTGATAAGCTCTTTTGAAGATTTTAAAATTATTTATTGTTTTATGTATGTGTACTGAAGCCCAGATGCTAACTTTACAATATTTATTGAATATTTAAGCACACCATTGAGCGAAATCAGTAAAAAGTTTAGAGGTTATAAACAAATTATTTGTGGTAACTTTAATGTAAATTTTTTACAAGAGATGCTGTTAGATTTGCTGGACTCATGGGGTATTCAGACAACAATGGAGCAATCAATGAGGAATGATAACTACTACTACACAACACATGTGTGAATTTTGGCAACAAGTTATTTTAAAGCGCTGTTGCTAATGGAAACTTAGTGACCATCTCTCTAGAAAGTTCACTATTAACTGTAACATCGGGAACACAAAACCAAAAACATTCTTGTACAGGGTGAGCAATATATATCTGACTGATTTGATTTGCGCGCCATTTTTGATACACGCATTTCAGTAGGTGGTGCCGTAGTAATCCTTTAAGGCACATGTGTCCAATTCGTCATGGAGCGCTACTCGCTACTCGATCCCACAACGCGTCCATATTATTAACACGTTTCACTTAAACAAGAGCAGCTGAAGAACAATATCACGAAAGCGATTGAAAATATTACTTCCGAAACCTACCAAAAAGTGATCGAAAATGTAATCAATAGGGCTCAGGTTTGCGCGGCTTCTAGAGGCGGACATTTGTCCGATATTATTTTTCATACATAATTTCTAAGTTTCAATAAAATATTGAGATGAAAAAAATGGATGTATTCTATTTCAGTTCACAAATATTCAAAATACAAACCAGTCAGTTACACATCGGTATTTCAGGCAGTTAAATAATGCCGATAACATTAAACATTTTAATCTAATTTTAAAAGAAGAAAAATTTGTACAAACCTGATGGTGATACAAACAATAAATATAAAACATTCTTTGGTACTTTAAATTATTATTTCAGAAGCAGATTTAACAAAACACAGTTTCTGGATACTGGCAATTCCGCTGGACTTACGTTAGGCATATCAGTCTCCCGGCCATCACTCATATTAGCAGTGGCCAAGGTGTCCCTAAGAGTGGCTAACAAAGCTTGAACAGCTGAAGTAGGAGCTAATTTCGCAGGTGCAGGCGCCTCCACCCTGACTAGACGCTCTTCTACATTTGCCCGCAAACGATCGAAAAATGACAGGGTGCATCTTTCTTTCAAGGTTGTTAAAGTCTCTACTACCTGACCTTTCTGTACTACCTACAAAATGTAGAACCCATAGAGTCCAGTATACAAATAACAATTTTGCCTCTTACCTTGCAAATGCATTTGTTATAATATCTTAACAAGTTAACTACTGAATATAGTACTGATGCTGGGAAAGATGTACCAAGAACCTTCTCTACTCTTGCTCTCAAAGGTTGGCATATTCCCTCACAAATGATAGCTAAAGAGTCTGTTATTATCTCTTCCTTCTCTGCAGAATAAAAGAAAATCAATGATTCAAGTAAACAATATCTCAAACTCATTCACAAATTTTAGAAAGTGATGAAGTATTGTCTTTTAGGTACTCCTCACTATTGCTTTTTGTAATCAAGATTAAAGAACATAATAATAAAATCTTCAAACGTCATTAAAATAATAGTTCAAATGATATTCTGAGAATCTGTTCCATTACAGAATTTTTTGTTTCTTACCAATATTGTCACAAAGTTTTAGCAACAACTGTAAATTCTGTTTCTCTGCCAGAACAGCCTTGTTTAACCAGACTAACATGTCAGTGATGTAGATCTGGGGATCATGAGACCTCATTTCAATAGGTGCTGGATTTCCTGAAGGTCCACCTCTTGTGAGTGCATTGATGAAATCTTCCATCAATTTACCTTTGCGGCAGATGCAGTATTCATCCATGATATATCTAGGCAGATTCTACGTTAATTTCGCACAAAATATAAATAAACGGTTTTTGGCGGGTCACAATAAAACTACAGGTCTTTCTTCCATACATCAACCTGCCTACTGGCGGGGAAGTATTGTAATCGAGAAAATTTTAGAAAATGAAATATTATGTTTTTTTGTATGTTATATGACATGTACATCACGAAAAAACATGTCACACATTTCCGTCGGTCTGTCCGCTAATCTTATAACCGCCTATAACTTGAGAAGTACAACTCGGATTTCGATGAAATTTTTACACAATATTACTGCTATGCCAAGGACGCGGAACCTTTTTAGTTTTTGAAAATCAGTCCAGTAGGGGCAGAGAGAAAGGCCTAAAACGAAAAAAGTAAAAATCGCTCAAACTTCGTTTTTGACGTTTCAGAGAGATCACTTTTGAAAAATATTTTAGAGGTAAAAAATCTTGGGGGTTAGTTTTGTAACGGGGTGGGGAGGGGTTATCTCAATTTGTTTACATTGGTAATTGTACGCTCCAATTAGCCATATTTCTCTAATCATAGAATTCTTTGCACATTAGCCCTGAAAACAGAAAAATATTCCCGGGAGACGGATCGCGTATACCCTATTTCACAAATATCGATCACGGTTTGACGTCTACTGAGGTGGACAGCTGATCACCAAGTGACATTTTTGTGTTAGTCTGCGACGTTAGCAATAATGAATCGGGTGTAATCGAGTAAAACTTGTTTGTAGCGTTTAATTTTTTTGTATGCAAATGAACTTTTCTAAATAAAAGAGATGTCATCAAGTACAAAATGAATCTGTAGCGTACAAAAAAATAAAACAAAATACGGCTCTGACTACCAGACGTTGACAGAATCGTCAGAATTATGTGCCCTGTGCCGATGTGGGGAATTTTGAGATATTACTAGATAATCAACTGTCATTCTACCGTGACGGATACTCGTGAGGTACGGTATACCTATCGAAGGCGGCTGCCGCTGGCGTCGTGCGCCGACCGTGTTAAGTGTTCTTGCATAGAATCACACGTATTTCTGCCGCGCAACAGCATAGTGTTTTCTATGCTCTGACCGCGCTACGACGTTTGTCTGAGATATGTATCGGAGAGAGGCGAAGTTTCCAAATGCACTACCGGTAGGTCAGGGAAAGAATGTCTATGCACTAATTGTATGGATCTGTTTGACTGACTTTTTATATTATATATTATAAGGGCGTTGCGTGGGAAGTGCAGAGTCAACCGACTTGACGCCATTTTTTGTTTTGCCTGCTTATGAGTTTTCTGCATTTATGCTTGTCTCTGCCAGAATGGCACGTCAGATTTATTTTTACGCATTCTGATCTTCAAGGTAATAGTAGTGTCTGAAGATACAACTACTATGTCGACAGTCTGTCTTGAGAAGTATTTTCAGAAAGTGAGTTGAACAAGTAGTGCTCTATCATCCAATTTATCTGTGTGTAAGACTGAGTAGCAGCTGCATTAGGGATTGGGTTATGCAGTGTTTATAATTTCCCTCAGCAAAGTTAAGGCACACACATGATACCATCAGTCACTCTGTTTACTTAATTCATATGGCATTGTGAAATAACCGCCAAAAACCATAAAAATATATACCATATTTCACCAGTATCCAGCACGCTTTGACGTCTACTGAGGTGATCAGCTTATTAGCAAGTGAAATTTTTGTGTTAGTCTGCAACGTTGGCAATAATGGATCGGGTATAAATCTAGTAAAACTTGTTTGTGGAGTTTTGTTTCTTGTATGCGAATCAACTTTTCTAAATAAATGATCTGCCGATATGGGGAATTTTGAGTTATTACTAGATAATTAGCTGTCATTCTGCCGTGATGGATACTCGTGAAATAGGGTATATGTATGTTTTTAAACTTTCTTACTTGAACAAAACAGGTCTATCCTGCAACCTAGCCATTGCTTGTGTAATGATATCAGTTAGTTCAGGGCTTTCCACATTTCTAGCATGGCTTTGTGTCCATCTATATAATCTTTCTAAAGCACCTTCCTAAAAAACATAGTTACCTACATACAACAAACAGTGTTGATAATACTTCTAGTTCTATAACCCTATTAAGAGTGTATTGCCACAAATGAGCTTAACATGCACAAGATTCTCATTTCAATAGATACCCTAAACCATATCTGCTGAGAAAGAGAAATGCGCAAATCGTTGACAAATAATGCGCAATTAGCAAATATGTATCTTTGCCGCCAATTCGGAGATCTCTATGGATTTATAAAAACTAGATGGTCTGCCTTAGGGTCACCTTGAGTATATTTCTCTTCATAAGATGGCTGGACCATTCCAAGTCAAAAGGTAAGTAATTGTATTAATTGTATATTTTATTTGGCTGCATTTTGTCAATACGAGGGATGTCTTTTAAGTTTTGCATATGGCAATAAAACAACATAGTAGGTAGTTTTAAATGACTTTATTGTTTTTCGAAGTATTCTCCATGAAGATTAGTACTCATCTGCATGCGCTTGAACCAATTTTCGAAGCACTTATTCCACTCTTTTTCTGGCAGATCCAAAACGGCATTTTTGAATGCGTCAACTGCTTCTTCTGGTGACTGAAACCTTTGACCAAGCAATCTGTTTTTAATTTTCGGGAAAGTAAAGAAATCGTTAGGACTTAGATCGGGACTATATGGAGGATGGTCCAATAATTCCACGTTTTCTTCCGTTAAATACTGCCTTGCTTTTTGGGCTGTGTGCGAGCTTGCATTGTATTGGTGGAGGATGGTTCTTCTTTCGGGGTTGATTTTTCGAAGCTCGGTGATGACTTTTGGCAAACAAATGGTGGTATACCAATCCGAAGTTACAGTTCTTTGCTCATTAAGAGGAATTGTTGCAATATGACCCGCTTTTGACACAAATGTCGTGACCATCTTCTTCGAAACACTTCGAGAACGGATGACTTTTGTTGGCTTTTCCTCACCTTGGATCAGCCGACTGTCGTTTATTTTCTGGTTCATAACAGTAAATCCACGATTCATCACCACTAACAACGAACGCTGTACACATTTTTTGAGTTTCCGGAATTGAAACGGTCAAGCGTTTTTTGAAACCAATTAACCCTGGCTGCTTTCTGCTCTTCAGTCAACAGGTGGGGTATCCAAAGAGAAACTAATTTTCTTACTCCTAATTCTTCATGTAAAATTTTTTGAATTGAGGTCTTTGAGATCTTCAAGGACGCCTCAATCTCGCGATATGTCACATGTCTATCTTCAATGTTGAGTTTGCGCACAGCATCGACGTTTTCCTGGGTGACTTCCGTTTTTGGTGCACCCACCCTGGGATCATCGCTAAGACTCACCCATCCACGTTTGAATTCTCCATACCAACGTAAAATTGTCGACTGATGTGGCGCTTCGTTGTGAAAAACAGACAGTAACTCAGCAAGGCATTCTTGTTGCGATAATTCTCTGAAAGTTGTAATAAATTATGACATATATTGTTGTGAAACTTTGAATTTAAGTTTACTAATCCGCGCGGCCTACTATGTTTCTATATGCAAAACTTAAAAGACATCCCTCATAGATTTATTCTATTTCACTTCTTGTGCTCTTAATGTACCTTTCACACCAGCGAGTCTGCTCAACTCAACTTCAAGTAAACATACCCCTAAGTTACAGTCTTTGTTAGATTGTTAGTAGTAATAAAGATACAAGCAGTGATTATCTTATTCTCCATGAAATATGAAGGAACATGTCTTAATGAAACAAAACAGTTTTCTGCCAATACCCTTATAAGTTACACATGAACCTGGTGCATTGTTACCACTTATTGCAATTTTCCTAAACATACATACAATATTTTTGTCCCTAATTGTATAAAGAATCGCTGTTCATCAAGTCATATATTTTGAGTATGAGCCTTACATAACTTTGAATATAACTGATAAAATAATTACATACTTGATACAAGGTCATTTGTTCCATGATATCTGAAGCTAATGTCTGTAAACCAGTCTGCATTAGAACTTTACAGTTATTGTGAATGTTTTGAACTTTGTCCAATACACTGAAAATTTCAAAGCTCATAAACTGATCTTTTCGATTTCCTTGTAATGCATTCATATTTTCAGGAGTTAGTTGGTACTTCTGCAGAAGAGTTTCTGCAATATTTTGCTCTACAACATTATGATTCCTGAAAAATTTGGACTGTTAAGTTTATAAAAAAATATTGATGGGAAATATGAGTTAAAGTTGTTCTGCAACATTTGTGACTTGCCTTTCGTCTTGCAATGAATTTGTTTGTTGTAAAAGCTGCTTGGTGTGAGTTTTTGTGTTTTGAAGCCTTTGTGTCATATCAGCTATTGATTTACTCATATCAGCCACCTCATTATAAATTGTGTCGAACGATTTTTTCACTTCTAAAAAGGAGGCTAGAAATTCCTTGTTAATATCCAAGTTTCTTTTCTCTATCTGACTTCGTAAATTTCTGCGAGCATGCAGTGTGTTATTAGTGTAAAACGTAGACAACTGGCTCAAGGCATCTAATGTGTCCTAAAATTATTATAATGGAAAACTCATACTTGTTCTTATTAAGTACCTTTTGGATCATTTACCTGGTCATTTTCAAATCGTAACTCCAATATTTTACCGAGTCGCTTTGACAGAACGTGATCCTTTTCGCTTTCTTTTCCAGGTGGCATTTTTGATTTTTCTTTTTAGTTCAGTTTATGTAGGAATTCCAAAAAGGGACGTTTCACGTTTCAAAATCATAATATTGACAACAGGACAAAAAACAGCTGAGTTCGATCATAGCCTTATCGCCAACTCCGAGTTTTTCACTTATAGAGATGAGTAATGTAAAAATCGATACATCATTGGGTAATGAATGAGTTAATCTCCATCAAGTCAAGGGCGTATCCAGGAGGCAAAGGGGGCAGTTGTCCCCGTTTTCTCTACCTCGGCAAAAATTAAATGGAAAGAACATTTTTCACAAAAATTAAATAATTCATTTACAGGGTTCTCCACAAGCTGAATCAGTATATACTTAATAGATTCTATTAGATGGTAAATTACTAGGTTAGTTGAAATCTAAGATAGATATAAGCTTAATTTTGCTAAAAGCACTATATAGCGTGTTTCAAATTCGACCCTCACCATTGGGATCATAGGAAACTGCAAGAGATACGAGGACGCTTAAAAGGGGGCAAAGTTGCGTATTTGGGTAATCAATAAAATGCCGTATAGAAACTTTCTAAACTCAAAGTACTTCCGGAGAGATACGAAAAAATCTAATTTTCCCAAAATCGTTTTATTTTTTTCATGATTTCTTATATCAATGCGTAACATGTTATCATCTTTGATATAATACGATATAAATGACCATATGATAATTTCAAGGCTTACCCAAGCATTTTTTATTCTTAATGTATGACATATTTGAAAACAGGATTAAAAGATTCATAAGAAAAATCAAAGTTGATACGAGGGATAAGAGACGAAAAATCATATTAATGTCCTATTTATGCCACCTTGCAGTGACCAAAAACTGGTAATGTCAATGTCCAGTTTATTTTGAAATCCTAACTCAAATAAAATCTCTAAATAACATATTGTAACAGCAGTTTCCAGATTTTTGAACGCAGATTCCACTCCACATATATTCCAATTGCACATCTCGTGTTGCGTTTGGAGTTATATAAAAGTGAGTGGATGAATTAGAATTTGAAAAACGAGCTTTACCGGATTTCACAATATTTTAATCCTTCAAACACACTGCTGACTATGTCAATATATGTATCAAGAAAGTTCGACTTCTTTTTGAATTTTGTCTCCTCTAAGAAAATTTTTGATTGCCGTCAAAATCATCAAGAACAAAAAAAGATCAGAAGAAAAAGTCAAGTTTGGGTGGAGTTACAGATTTTTTGGTCATAGTACTGGTACCATTAGACAGGTCTTTCTTCAAAGCCCAGTGTTACTTTCCAAGTTATATAAGGACCCATGAATAAATTAGTTTTTTTTGACGATTCCTCTGTCGCAACACGTCTGATTAACATAAATACCTGAAAATTTGAATGTTTTTCGCGATTACAGAACCGCGCTGACCTATTGACTTCGCTGAAAAAATGATCATCCTGTTGGACTACGGCCAAAAACATACATACAATTTGCAGTATAACAATCGTCTGAAATATATTACCACAAGTGTTGCTTTCAAATATTGCAACTGCTAAACTATTACTAAAACAGCTTCTCGCGCAATATTTGCTTGAATGTTTCAAAGCAGTAATCCTAGTAGTACCTGGTCGGTTTTTAGGTAGTTTAGGCCATTGTAAAATATTTTTATTTGACGTTTCGCCAACACGAGTGGTTAGCATCTTCAGAAGGTGTTCACAGTTCGGCACCTGAAGATGCCAACCACTCGTGTTGGCGATACGTCAAATAAAAATATTTTTCGACGGCTTAACTGCCCAAAAACCGACCAAATAACATTGGATGATGGCGGCGAAAGCCTTTCCCATATCATTCAGTAATCCTAGTAGTTTGCACTATCCATATGGATTGAAAATCGCCCTGGAAGACTATATAAATAAAATGCAAATAGAACGAAAAATATCAAGCATAATTATGTGCATATGATTTGTGGAATTTCCACCAACAATTTTTCGAACGTGCCCCCGTTTTGAGCTGGGTACGCCCTTGCACCAAGACCCATTTTGTAAATCAGTACGTCGATTACAGCTACAAGTTTTTGCTTGCATCGACGGAAGGGTCCAAAAGTTCTCATAGAGTACTCAAACATTGTTTCTGAGAACCATGTCTACTAATCAATATCGAATATTAGCATTCACATCTCTATCTTTTTTCCATAGTTTATTATTTGTGGTTGGCGACACTTCGACACTAATTGACTAGTTGTTATTTAACTGTCAACTGGTATGAAACCGAAAAAGTCTCATTTCCTTCTATCCAGCATTTTGTTTGTAAAAATCACTGTTTTGCAAACATTTGTGATTTAGGATAGCCATTTTAGTGGATATGCCGATACTCATCAAAGTGTAAGTACTATCAAAACTATGATTTAATAGTTATAAATATTTCTACCCTAAGAGAATCCCGCTCTTTTCACATGACATTTACCTGACATTTCATGAATGACATTTCGTATTGTGAGGTTATTAACTTTTGCCGTGTGTTTGGAAACGAAAAGGATCTGTTGAATTCGGAATAAACTTTAGCTCTTTAAATATATCTTGCCCCAACGATGGGGCCCCCAAAGCGCGGTGGTAGTAACAAAGGTGAAGGCAAGACAAAGAAACGTAAGAAGGAAGAAGAAGAATGGACCTACGAGGAAGATGACACAAATGACATCGATGAAACTGGGGAGGCTGATATCCCAGGAGCTGCAGCCCGAAATGCAGAAAGGAATGACCAAGGCGTGCAGGAGGATGAATTCGGAGCTAAAGATTATCGGTCTCAGATGACCCTAAAGACAGACAATGCATCTAGGCCTTTATGGGTAGCTCCAAATGGACATATCTTCTTAGAATCCTTCTCTCCAGTTTACAAACATGCACATGACTTTCTCATAGCCATATCAGAACCAGTATGTCGCCCAGAATTTATCCACGAATACAAACTAACAGCATATTCATTATATGCAGCTGTTAGTGTGGGTCTTCAAACCGATGATATTATCGAGTATCTGAAAAGGTTGAGTAAAACAACAATTCCTGATGGCATAGTTGAGTTTATTAAACTGTGCACTCTTTCATATGGAAAAGTTAAGTTGGTTTTGAAGCATAACAAATATTTTGTGGAAAGCCCATTTCCAGATGTTTTGCAAAAATTGCTTAAAGATCCTGTTATTCAAGAATGTAGATTAAGGAGGAATATAGAGAACGAAAGTGAAGAGCTCATTACACAGGTAAGTAATTTGATTTTTTGACTTTGCATTCTGATATTCACAAATTTGCAACTTTATTTAGTTATTCATAGTTATTCAAATAATAAAGATTCTCAAAGTTTTCCTTATCAAGATTGTAATTATTCCATCTTATAATTTTCGATATGTACATTATTCTCAAGAGTGAATTAATAGAATAGAAAAAATACACAATTTAAGGATTTCCTGCAATTCAAAGAACTGAGATGATCCTGTGTATCTAGAAAATTTAGAGAATTGGATTTGTAAAACTAATACCCATTTTATGTTTTTTAATGAATTCATGGTGAAATTCCAAAAGAATAAAACAGGAATTTGACATCAAATAAATCAATAAAGTTTTTTCATGGATTTCTTCCCTTTCTAATTTTTGGCAAGCTGGATGTCACATCCTATGGTTATCTCATCATTTGTTATTTGAGCATTCCACAGGACCTTGGCTCTTGACTGGCAGAATTTCAAATCCCATTATATTGAACAACATTTTAATCAAGTTTATAACTGTGATGGAACTACAGTATTCAACAATATATGTTTGATGTTTATGAGATTCACCTCAAAGCAAGAATTTGTAGTGCTGTTGGCAGCAGTGTGCACTATTATGATGCCCATTGATGTAAACAAGGCAAAACATGATCAGGATGACCTTGAAGGAATCCACCTGAACAAATTCATGAAGAAATTGTTGACATAAAATGGGTATAAGAGGATGCTCTAGAACTCAGATGTATTCAAAGAATTTGGAGAATATAAAAAAATTAAAAAAATAGGCATTTCATCCATATTGAAAGATTTGAATTTAGGCAAACTGAGAATTAGAAAAATTTTTAGAGAATTTGATTGATCTAGAAAATCTAGAGATACAGTGTTTAAAGCAATCTGGAGAATATAGAAAATTTATAAACTTTGTGAATAGACATGAAATTACTGACAAACTATCCATCTTAGGTTTAAAAAAATGATAATTCCAAATATAAATCAGGTTCAAGATAAGAAGAATGTAGTAACCTTTGGAGCAAAACCAACTACTTCAAGTGAAGGTCAAGGAGATGGTACAACTGTGCCTGATGATATTACAAACTTTTATGAGAAAATGGATAATGAGGAAGATGATGAGGAAGCCTCTTTGCAAACAGTTTCTTTTGAGGTTAATCAAGAAAAAATTGAGGTTTTGCAAAAGAGATGTATTGAGTTGGAGCATCCTCTTTTGGCAGAGTATGATTTTAGGTAAGCATTATTCTCCATGAAAATGCCCAATGATAAGCTGTATTTGGATGTTTACAAACAATTTCCATTATCACAGTCATGTTGCCAAGTCGGATCACAGTGATTCCTTTAGAAGTAATACAATTAGATTTCTTTTTGAAGAAAATTGTTAATTCTTAATCTTAAACATGACTCTAAGGAAAGATCACCTCTTCACCTCATAATTCTAAGATTTCTTACTCTCAGAATTACCTAATGATGGAAGAGAAAAGCTCTTAACCTACAGCAACAGTCTGAGGGGTGGCAAGGTTCATGCCACAAGATAGTGGTTCATATGTATACAGGGTGTTTTGGAAGTTGAGAATTTCCTTTTTAAAAACAACTACATTTGAAATAACTATGCTAATATGTGGTAAAACAGTAGCGCACAAGTAAATGAGAAATTAAAAAAAAGTACTTACCATTATTTTAATTACTGCTCTGTCACCTGTTGTCGCCATTCGATTCTAATACACAAGTTTGTTCCTTCTAATTTTGCAACACTGCAGTTATTATTTTTTCTACTGTGACCACCTCGACCGCCTTTATACTATATCAACAAACATACTCAGCTCTGGATGGAAACATCCACGCCAAGGATCTGAGTACACTCAAAAAGTATCAATGGCTTCTTGAAAACGCTCACGGCAACTAACGTCAAATCAATAACAACATCATTCTTGTAGGAATGAGCGAATTTCTGTTTTTCAAATACGATTTTTAAATAAATTTTTTTAACGTACACATCGTGCGGCGATTTTGTTACTCAAGCACACCATATCATAAAACATCGTACCTTTTCACGTAGGTTTCAGGGTCGTGCAGGCAAAATCAGATTTTTTTATTGTTGCATATATACGCTATGTAAAAGAGAAACCTATTCTGGTGAAAAACACGAATCAATGCTTAAACTAACTTGATGTGCATTGTGATCAAATAATACTTTTGCAGAAATGATACCATCAACCCTGATATAAACATTGACCTCCGACCCTCAGCAGTCTTAAGACCCTATCAAGAAAAGAGTCTGAGGAAAATGTTTGGAAATGGTAGAGCAAGATCTGGAGTGATCGTGTTACCATGTGGTGCAGGAAAGTCATTGGTTGGTGTGACAGCATGCTGTACAGTCAGAAAGAGAGCACTAGTTTTGTGTAACTCAGGAGTATCTGTAGAACAGTGGAAGCAACAATTTAAGATGTGGTCTACAGCTGATGACAGCATGATATGTAGGTTTACTTCTGAAGCTAAAGATAAACCAATGGTAAGTTGACATATGATTTGATGAAGATTAACTGAAGGGTGTTCTAATAGATACTTCAGCATTTAATTTTCAAATAAAACCAAACATTTCGTGGAATTGTGGAAGTTAAGTTCTATAATTCATATTCTCCAGATATCCACCACAGATGCGGACGACCGTTCTTTGACTAAATTTTTCATCAATCTTTCCACATAACTTCGGCTCAGTTGCACCAATAATTTGAGAAATGTATTTCTTCAGGTCAGTAATTATCTGCAGATTGTTTGAATAGACTTTATTTTTGAGGAAACTCCACCAAAAATGTCAATTTGGATTAGATTTAATGATCTTGTAAGCCAGTGAAAAATCTCGCGGCCATCAGAAAACATGTCGGTGGTAGTTCCTGTAACCTGGAGTAACATGATTTTTCGGGCCTCCATAAACCACACTTCAGGGCCTCCTTAAGTACCGGGACCCGGCTCTGAGTTCCATCATAGGAATTTTCATAAAATAATGAGAGTGAATTTTCCCGCAATTATGATTCAATCATCCATAATTAAATCGCCGGAATAAAATTTCACCATTGAACTCGCTGACAATCACTTCATGCTGACTAGTAGTAGGCGCGGAATGTGTACAAGTTGACATATCGTTTTTTTTTGTGACATTATGTAGGTTTTCCTATAAGATGTCAACTTTGCACTAGCTGTTTACTTGATGGGCACTCGTGTAACTGTACATGTTCTTAGTTGCAGTCAGAATTAGATATAAGAAGGAAGGCAGTGACAGGGACTTGGTTGTATGTTCGGCTTACCTTCCTTACGATTCAAGAGACCCTCCTCCGTCTAAGGAAATGGGGGACCTTGTCGCATTCTGTAGGGATTCTGGACTCGACCTTGTGATTGGATGCGACAGTAATGCCCATCACGTTACGTGGGGCAGCTCGAACACCAATAGACGGGGCGAAGACCTGATGGAGTTTCTAGGGGCATCGAACCTTGAGGTTCTGAATGTCGGTAACATGCCCACTTTCAGCAATAGTGTAAGAGAAGAGGTTATCGACGTAACACTGAGCACGCTTAACTTAGCTCAGGACATCAGGGACTGGAAAGTGTCTCTAACATATGCTCGGAATCCCAGGCATACTAGATGGGGGTCCTTTAGGGCAGACATTGACAGTAAGCTTGGAGCGGTCCCATACAGGCTTGGCAGGGGCTCTGACATAGAAGCAGCTGTCGAGTCGGGGGGGGCTCAGCTATGCTGAATAACGTAAGCTGCAGCGTGAATGTAGCTAGAGGCTGCCCGCAGGGCGGAGTTCTGTCACCCCTACTGTGGTGTATCGTGGTGAACGAACTCCTCGTTAGGCTCAGCAGTATGGGTGTCTATGCGCAAGCCTATGCTGATGACGTAAGCATAGTAGTTAGGGGGCGTTTCTGTAGAACAGTCTCGGAAAATATGCAGGGCGTTCTGCGCTCCGTGGAATCGTGGTGTAGGGAAGTCGATCTTTCTGTTAATGCTGAAAAGACCGAGCTGATCCTATTCACTAGGAGAAGAAGGCTTGACGGACTGGTCATGCTGACCTTCTTTGGGACTAGATTAGTTTTGTCCCAGTCAGTGAAATATCTGGGAATTATCCTGGAGTGCAAACTGAACTGGAGAGAGCATGTGGAATACAAGGTTAGCAAGGCTCGCAATTCGATGTGGGCTTGTAGACGTGTTGTCGGTGTAAGGTGGGGGCTTAAACCCAAAGTGGTATACTGGCTCTACACGACGATAGTACGTCCATCTCTCTTATACGGCTCCCTGGTCTGGTGGCCTTGCATTAGAACTGAGTCAACTAAGGCCAAACTCAATAAAATTCAGCGTTTGGCCTGTATTAGCATTACAACCGCAGTGCGAACAACGCCATTGAGTGCAATGGAAGCTCTGTTGGATCTCCCACCGTTGCAACTGGTGATCCGCGGTGAAGCGAGAGTAGTCGCTCATCGACTGTGGAGTCAGGGCAGCTGGGCTTTCTTGAATCCGGTCAAGGGGCATACTGCCATCTTAGTCGAATTAGAAAGGGAGGACCCCGTCCTTCTAAGCAGGGGTGATCGTATTACCAATAAATATCGCTTCAACCGCAAGTTTATTGTGGAGTATCCAACGAGGTAGGAGTGGGACGCCGGTAGCCGAGGACTCTCGGAAGTGAGCGGGCAGGTCTGGTACACGGACGGCTCGGTCACCGAAGAGGGCTCAGGTGCTGGGGTCTCTGGGCCTAGAACTAGGCTATCTCTGCCTCTCGGTGGATACACCACCATTTTCCAGGCGGAAATCTTTGCGATTCTGGCTTGTGTATCTCACATTCTGGAGGAGGGTGGGCCTAGGAGAAGAATAACAATCTTATCCGACAGCCAGGCTGCAATGAAAGCACTAAGTGCCTGTAAGATTACTTCGAGTCTTGTATTGCAATGCAGGGAGGCTCTGGATTGCCTCGCAGCGAGGCATCCGGTATCGTTAATATGGGTACCGGGGCATGCTGGGATAAGGGCCAATGAGACGGCGGACACTCTGGCGAAAACAGGATCAGCCAGCAAGCTCGTTGGTCCTGAGCCAGCTCTAGGAGTAACCGCGCATAAAGCTAGGAGGAAAATGGAGACGTGGGTTGCAAGACAACACTCTCAGAAATGGATAAGTATCTCTAGACATCTCCGCCAGGCACGAGAGCTCATTGGAGGGCCCAGTGCTAAGAATGGACGCTTCTGCCTATCTCTGGGTAGAGCCAACCTAAGGTTGCTGGTGGGACTGTTGTCTGGCCATAACACGTTAAGGCGTCACCTGCACGTGATGGGGGTGGCTGAGGATCCCTTGTGCGAACGCTGCGGAGTAGAGGAAGAGACCTCGGCGCACGTTTTGTGTCGCTGTGAAGCTCTGAGCTACTATAGGCAGACTATACTCGGGTCCATTACTTTGGACCCTCAGGACGTCAAGGAGCTTGGACTCAAGGCGATTCTCAACTTCGCTAAAAGGGCGAGGCTTGTGATTTAAGTATTGTAGAGGTGCATAAGGGCCCGCTTAAGCGGCCTATGCACTGGCTCCTTATGGTGGCCGGTGGCCTCTAAATTTTAAGATTCATTCATTCAACTGTACATGTTGCCTAAACGTCATCATGCTTGGGTCATCATAGTTTGGCTCTGATGTGATGCAAAATCTACTTCCGAGATGACATGACATGAAACAGGCGAAACCGCAATGCATAGGTGCTTAGTGAGGATTTTTGTGCTAATAATCTGTCTGGATGATATTTCCTATGGTTTCTTGTCTCAAATACAGTTACTTAAAAAAGAAAATCCCTGGTTGGTGAAGTATATCACAACTAACATATGAGAAAATAGTCTATTTATGACCCGTGAAACGGGTTATTACATTTGAAATTATTTTCAGTTATTTAAATTTTATTGAAGTTTATTTTGAGATGTCTAGTAGAAAATACAAATCATCGCCTAGATGTGAGGTACTGCGAAAATGTTTTGTGAGTGATGCGTTATTCATAATTTGGGGGCTTTTATAAACATGCACACCAATACACACAATCATCCATATGCGATCTTGCTACTTGCTACTCAACCAATTTTCTTTCTGCCACATCTTCTCAGAGATATACTTTACAGACAGATCTCGGTATTCTTCAACCAACAAACATGCTTTCGAATTGACACGAGCATGTCATTGAGTTATTCCTCGACAGGTGACGCTAGGGGTGATGATCACAGCACTCATAGCAAGCAAAAGCAGAATGAAATATTTGGATACTAGGAGCTAGTCAGCAAGTTAACATTTTCGTTTTTGGACATTATATAGATTTTTTACATAATAGCCTTGAAGGTCTCTAAATAACCCAAGCACAGTATAAAATTTCTTGGGCATCATGTTGGAAAATGGCACTACACTTCAATTTTATGGTACCTATTGGGACACCCTTATTGTCACGTGAAACACAATTTTTCATGTATGATTTTGACATGGTTATTTCAGGGTTGCAGTATTCTAGTCACAACCTATTCTATGATAACCCATACTCAACGTCGATCATGGGAAGCAGAGCAAACCATGAAATGGTTGCAAGAGCAAGAATGGGGAATCATGGTACTGGATGAAGTGCATACAATCCCAGCTAAAATGTTTAGGAGAGTTTTAACAATTGTACAGTCACATTGCAAGCTTGGCTTAACCGCTACCTTACTCAGAGAGGACGATAAGATTGCGGATCTGAATTTTTTGATTGGGCCAAAGTTATATGAGGCCAATTGGTTAGAACTACAAAAAAGAGGTTTGAAGTGACTTGTATTTGTATTGATTATCATACATTTTCGAGTTTTTAGATACCTCAGAATTCTTAGAACTTACAGACTTTAAGAATTCATATCTTTCGGCACTTTTATTATACCTGTACAAGAAATTTTTGGATTCATTCTTTCCATGATCACGTTTTTTGGATGAAAATGAATCAAGAGGTTGCTAGGTGGTAACTCAGTGCAAATTTGGTTAATTTTTTTCAACAAATTACAAAAAAATTGTCTTGTTGCTATGGACAAAATATTTTCTCTGATCATTGTGAATAAAATAGATTAGTGACTTTTCTCTAAAGTTGATTGTTGTTTAAAGTCTGAAAATCCCTCTGTTCAAAATATTATTTTTGAGGTTGCCAAGCGCCTGAATTAACTTTTCTTGATTCATGTTTTGAGAGGCATCCAACAAACTTTATTGTGATATTAAAAATCGAGTACGAACATTTTTCCCACGGATGTGAACTTATCACCTCGTCTATGTAACCTTCAGAACTTCTTAAACATTAAGGTCTTTCAGAATCTTCAAGATGTCCATAATTTTCAAAATGTTTAAAATTCTCAATTTTTGGATTTTATAATTTAAGTTATTCATTATTTTTAGGTTTTATTGCAAGAGTCCAATGTGCAGAAGTATGGTGTCCAATGACGCCTGAATTTTACAGAGAATATTTAGTGTGCAAAACCAGCAAACGACTTTTGTTATATGTTATGAATCCTAATAAATTCAGAGCCTGTCAGTATTTGATAAGATATCATGAGAGGAGAGGTGACAAGACAATAGTCTTTTCAGACAACGTGTTTGCTTTGAAACATTATGCTATTAAAATGAACAAACCTTACATCTATGGACCCACTTCTCAAGGAGAGCGGATACAGATTTTACAGAATTTCAAGTTTAATCCCAAGGTACAGTTACTAAACTGTTTAAGAAACAAATGTAGTTAACATAGGTATCTACCAATGCACCACCCTGCTTAGTTCTTGAAGGCGTTTATCTCTATGCCATACTTCAACGTTTACATAAAGTATTATTGTCACAGCCATATTGTCAAGTAAGACCGCAGTTATTTCCTTAGACTTAATAAAACAGATTCCATTTTCCTTTTTTTTGTTCTTAAACATCACATCAACGTTCCAAGGGAGCATCAACTCTCAACCTTGTGATAATAATGAATTGGTTAAATATAAATAAACTAAAATTTAATCCTTCTAAAATGTATACTATAGCTTGGATATGTTGGAATGTCTTGACCGATTCAGAGTTGAACTCCAGACAAGATCGAATTTTCTTCATTGTTCTAGATCATACAAACAGTCACTTGAAAGCCGCTAATGTTACAGTCTCTGATTGGGTATCTCTAGATTTTTTAAAATTCACTGTAGATGGGATTTTACATAATCTCTTCTAAGTCTTATGATTGCACTAAAATTGTTTATGACGGTTTGCGTATCGGTAGCTTCATGTAAAAGGAGTTTAAGTAAACTAAAATTAATAAAAAATTATTTGTGGGCAACAATGACCCAATCGCGGCTTAGCAATATTGACATATTAGCCATCGAACATGAGGAAATACAAAATATAAATTTTGATGAAGTTATTACTGAGTTTGGAGCTGTCAAAGCTAGAAAGAAGACATTTTAATTGTGTGATAAAAATATTTTTTCTGTCTTAGTTTTTATTGGGTTTTGTTATTTGTTCATTATTTTAAATATAAATATTAAATGATCCATGATGTTTATAAATCACTAAAATGCTTTTGACACCACCAACTTCCGCACCAGGGCGACCCAAGGTAGCTTTCGCCACTGATGTGTATGTTGTTTTTTTGAAAGAATTTTATTGTGGTATTAATGCTAAATGATTCTAAAATAAAACAAACCACTAACTATATACTACTTTGAAATAAAATGATCTAGTGAGGTGACTTGTTATATAAACTATTTTTTAGGTAAACACGATATTCGTCAGCAAAGTGGCAGATACATCCTTTGATTTACCAGAAGCTAACGTTCTCATCCAAATCTCCTCTCATGGAGGCTCTAGACGTCAAGAGGCTCAAAGATTGGGACGGATCCTGAGAGCTAAAAAAGGAGCGATAGCTGAAGAATACAACGCGTTCTTTTATACATTGGTTTCACAAGATACGATGGAGATGAACTATTCAAGAAAGAGGCAGAGGTTTCTGGTTAATCAAGGATACAGTTACAAGGTGATTACAAAGTTGGCTGGCATGGAAGAAGAACCGGATCTGTTTTATAAGACTAGAGAAGAACAAGGACAGTTGCTGCAACAGGTAATTTTTTTTACCAAAAATCAGGTTTTTGTTGCAAGTTCCTCAGAAAGCTTCATAACGAATTGCTTTCTGCTATGTAAAGACATTGTACATTCTCCTCAGAACGATTGTTCATAGATGGCTTTAGCCCTATAAGAAAATCAAGGGTGTGCGGATACGTAGATGTAGCTGGCCGCATGTAAACCCGAGTGATCTAATGTCAGCAGCCTCAAAAAATACTCTGAGAATGGTCACCTGTTAGTTGTTTAGGAAACCATCTGCTTATTAATAAGTACTTATTTTCAGGTACTTGCAGCTAGTGATATTGACTGTGAAGATGAACGCATTCCTGGTGAAGGTGGTGCCAAATCTGGTGCAACCAGAAGAGCTGGCCACCTTGGATCAATGTCAGGAGCAGATGATGCTGTCTACTACGAATTCAAAAAGTCTAACAATGCTAATAAGCATCCGTTGTTCAAGAAGTTTAGATATTAATTTTTTTAGGTGTTGTTATACAATAAAAGTTACTTTGAAGTTATTATGAGTTTTTTATTCGTCCTGCACTATATGACACACACAGTGTATCTGAGAAGTCATGGCCATCCCTACAAAACTATCCAATGGCGCCTCTAAAACATTGAAAAAAGTATTTTTGTATCCTCGTGGAAATGTGAATGTCGCAATTTTTCGTACTACGGACATCGAACTTTCGCATCTGAAGAGCGGGATTTGTGCATTCATTTTTTCATCATATTTTTGTTTGCAGTCCAGCAGCGGGGTCCTCAGATTCATGGGCCATCATAGAGCTACAGGGTGATCTAAAATCTCAAACAGAAACTAGTTTTGAAGGAAAATTTATTGGAGATTTGCACTTTACCAAATCTAACACGCCTGTACTGATTATAGGACATCACTTGATGTTTGGGAAAGAGACGAAGCTTGAAAAACCATTTGCTTTGTTGGAAAAGAAGAAAAATAATGATGGAACTGAATATTATGTGAAAGCAGTAATAAAAAATAAGATTATTTTCAAAATGAGACCTAAACCTATTGTTGCACTTTGATAAGTATTGTACCGATTTAGGAAACATGTAAAATCTGAATTCTCAACAAACAAGAATTATTTTATTCTTTAAATGTATATTGGAGTAAACAGTCTGTTCGATATAGTTCCATCTTTCAGTGATATTGTATTTTTAATAAAATGGTTAAATAAGCATGATTTCGTCATTTATTTAAAAGCAGGGAAATTAAAAAAAAATATTTCAATGGATTTCCAACATTTTGCATTCCAAAATGGATCGAATGTTTCCATTTGTTTAACTTTCGCACCTACTGGCGGTATAGTGTGTGTTTAAAATCATCTTGAACTGATAGCGGCGTTGCGTGGGACGTGCAGAGTCAATCTACTTGACGCCATTTTTTCCAGCACAGGAGAAAAAAGATGATAAACTCCATCGTCATTGGAATAAATGTGTAATTTTATCTTTGTAGACAACACCCCATTGGTGTATTTCTCATTATCGGCCAACAAGCAAACATCGTTGCTAGGCAATATAAAAGACGTAATTGACTAGGACGAACACGATGTTGCACAACACTATTCTTTCTGCTATAAAAACTGTAACATATTTTGCTTGTTCAAAATTACTATTAATTTGTTTTTACACCAATCGCTACACGTCTTTAATTTTCGAAAAATGCGATTCTAGTCATTTGTTTGGTATAATGGTCAAGACACAATGACACCATAGAGATTGGTAACAACTACATAAGAAATTGCCGTTTGATCAATAACTGTTGTTGGTTGCTGACTCATAACTGCGAGGTTATCGACGAATTAACACTAACAAACATTTCTAATTATCACAGTAGTAATAGTTAAACAATGACGGTAAACTTGAAGGAAATTTTGGAAAAATTAGGGTGGGACGACGGTTTCCAGATTCCCATCGCCAACGATGAAAACAAAGAACTAGAGCAGGAGTTGGCGAAACTCACGTTGAGAAAAACCAAGGCGAAACACTTACTAGAAAATCTTTCAGGACGTGTTAATGCCTTAACGGAGAATTATAAGTATGTCGAACATGAACATGACCAAACTCAGAAACTTATAACAGCACATAAGCAACAATATGAAGTTGTGCAAAATCATTACCTTACCTCCAAGTCTGAACACGAAAACATTCGACTGTTGATCAAGAAAGCGGAAAAACAACTTACAGGTGCAGAGCAAATGGAAGGAGCAAAGAAAGTAGATTTGAGTAAATGCGTTTCTAAAGTTGATCAACTCAAATTGGAAATGGAATGGGATACTGAAGCACTCAAGGCATGGGACGAATCGCTCAAAAAACGAGACGAAGATACTGGAATATTGAAAAAGTTCTCCCGTGAAGATGAGATTAAATATAATGAGTTAGAAGCCAGGCGTTTGATTTTGCAGAGTGAATGCCTCGCTAAGAGAGACACGATAAAAAGGATTGCAGCCGAAAGTCGCAATTATGAAATGGTTCTAGAAAGGTCAGGAAAAGTCATAAAACAGCAAGTCGCTCATCGTGAATCACTGATCAATCAGTGGAAAGATGCAGTAAAGATGTTGCAGCAAAGAGATGTAGATATTTTCAAGGCTCAAGAAGATGTCCAGGCCTTATATGAAGCTATTTCAAAGCAAGAGGATGTGTTGGAGGAAGAGCGTATCTTTCTCAATGATCAGAAACGAGTAAATCGCGAAATTGAGCTTGAGTTAGAGAATGTCAACAGCATTAATTGTCGGATGAAGAGGGAACTAGCCGAGTTTACGCAAATCAACTTGTTGATGAAGACTGACCGTGACATGTTAAAACGACAAGTTGCAAAAGTAGCTCAGCATTTGGAAAGCGTTAGACTAGAAGGAAAAATGTTGGCTGAAAGAACAACTGAAATGAAGAATATGCGTAGTAAATGCGCAGAAGAAACACAGTCGTTACTTCAAAAACATCGCGAGATTGATGAGATGACATCTTCATCCAAAGAACGGTTGAGAAAACTTGAACACATGCTAGAGAGTGAACAAAGATTGTACAACAGCTTCGTGATTGAGACTGAGAGAATCAATAATAAAATATTTAGGAAAGAACAGTTTCTGAAAGAGCAAAAGGACATCACAAAAATAATCGAAATTGATCTGAATGACACTATCAGCAAATGTAATGAACTGCGGAAAATTATTAGAGTTTTGAGTAAAGATCTGGACAAGCTTAAAGAAGTGGTTTACGATATGGAATTTCGAATTGATGATATAGAAAAGAAGCTATCTGCAATAGCCGAAGAAGAAAAAGTAGATGATGCAACGAAAGATGCTTTATATCAACAGATTAATTCAATGGAAGAAACTTTAGCAAAACATAAAGAGGTCCAACGTGTGTTGCAAGCTCAAGTAGATCAGCTTCAAGAAGAAACACGTCGTGTATCCAAATATATAATAATGGATAAAGAAACGATACTTACCCTACAAAATCGTTGTGAAAATATTATGTTGGAGTTTGAGAATGGGACGAAACAAATCGCAGCGGCCAAACAAACTACTCAAGAAAAACAAGTAGAAGAAAATATGTTGTTACTGAAAATAGACCAATTAGAAAAAGAGAAGAAGAAAGAAGAGAAAGACATACTGGATTTGGAAGCATTGCGTCTTAACTTAGACCAGGCGATAAAAGAAAGACAAATAGAGATTGACACAAAAAAGACAATAACGCTAACAAAAAGAAGAAACTTGGATGAAGAAAGGGGAAGACTTAGAGCTGATATTGGTTTAGTCAGAGTGAAGATAGATCGAATGAAAAAAACATATTACATCGCGTGCAGTAGCTTGGGAAAAGATGAAGAAGGAAATCCATTGAGCGTTTCTCATTTCAGAATAAAAAACGCCCAAGAAAAGTTCATGCTTCAACAGCAGGGAGATGATCTAGATAAAAAGATCAAAACTGCTGAAAAGGAAATCGTAGCTATGGAAAACACTCTGAAGTTAGTTAATTTGACGAATTCATCTTTCAAAAATAGTTTGTCGAATATTAAAGAAGAAGATGAAGAAATGAAAAAGCTTAAAGCACTAGAAGAGCAATATAGGGTATTGTATCAAAACGTAAAGAAAATGAGAAAACAAATTGAAGTTAGCAACAACGAGTTGCAAGAATACCAAAACCGTTTACGAGAGATACAAAAAACAATAGAAGAGCGTCAAAATGCAGTAACAGAGCTAGAAGAAGAAATCGAGGTTGTCAGAAGACAAGAATTTGAAAAAACGACGATGCTCAAGAGGACCGATTGTGCTATAAAGAGAGCTTTGAGAAAAATAGGAAAGATCGATCTTTCTAAATATCACAAAGACTTAGAGATCAGACAACTGCAGAGTGGCAACAAGCAAGTGACAAGCGCTTTGAAAGACTTATCACTGAATTTTAGTGAGATGGAACCACAGATCAGCTATTATACAACAGAGTATAGGATCAAGCTACCTGTGGCAAGGAGGCCACCAAGCAGTGAGTCATCCTTTTCTACGTTAAGTCCCTGTTCATCTTCAAAAGAGATATCCACTTCCACTTATGAACTCGATTCGTCAGGTGGTGTATCTACGGTTAACTTGGCACTCAAATTGTGAACGAGTATTTAAGGAAAACATATAACATATCTAGCTATTAAATAAATGGCATTTGTTTTTTTTGTGTAAATTGCGAAGTTAGTTTCACCAGATTATTTCATTTAATCCATCCAACTACATCGTCTACTACCGTTTGCAGTTTGGCGGACATAGGAATTTGTCTAGAAGGCGCAGTTGGCGGTCGCTGGATTCATGTTCAGTGTAAAGTTCTTATGAGATGGGGTAGGGCGATTGAAAATTGAAGAGCGGGGGAAGCATGCTTAAGCAAGGTTTTAGAGAGTAAATGATCGTGTGACAATTGAAGAGCGGGTTGGGATACGTCTAGGGGTGGGGGGTACATCTCTACCATTAAGGTTCAACAACGAAACATTAGCACTTTTAGTGAGATGGAACCACAGATCAGCTACTATACAACAGAGTATAAGATCAAGCTACCTGTGGCAAGGAGGCCACCAAGCAGTGAGTCATCCTTTTCTACGTTAAGTCCCTGTTCATCTTCAAAAGAGATATCCACTTCCACTTATGAACTCGATTCGTCAGGTGGTGCATCTACGGTTAACTTGGCACTCAAATTGTGGATGAGTATTTAAGGAAAACATATAACATAACTAACTATTAAATAAATGGCATTTGTTTTTTGTGTAAATTGCGAAGTTAGTTTCACCAGATTATTTCATTTAATCCATCCAACTACATCGTCTACTACCGTTTGCAGTTTGGCGGACATAGGAATTTGTCTAGAAGGCGCAGTTGGCGGACGCTGGATTCATTTTCAGTGCAATGTTCTTATGAGATGGGGTGATGGGGTAGGGCGATTGAAAATTGAAGAGCGGGGGAAGCATGCTTGAGCAAGGTTTTTGAGAGTAAATGATCGTGTGACAATTGAAGAGCGGGTTGGGGGGTGGGGTGGGGGGGTACATCTCTACCATTAAGGTTCAACAACAAAACATTAGCACCATGATACAGCAATTATGACAC